CCATGGGTCGGACCATGTCCTCGTCCGTACACGCCTGAAAGTTCACCTCTCATCCGCACCAAAAATGTCACGTCCTAGACGCCTCAATGTCGCAAAAATCCGGCAAGCCAGCACTGCCGAGGCCCTAAGTAGAGAAATCCGGACCTGTTTTACGGCCCGAGTCGACGGAGAAGTCAGTAACCAGTGGTCGTCACTGAAGACATCGGTCTATGAGGCAGCTGAGAAAATCCTTGGATACACCCAGTGACTGGATCAGCGGAAGAACCCTGCAGTTGTCTGCTCAGACGGCTAGAGCCAGGTCCCGCAACGATGACTACTTCCGCCAACTTCGGAAGATGACGGCAAAATCGGCCAGGGATGACCGGAAACAATATTGGGCTGAAATAGCGACATCCATGGAACAGGCCTCGAACGTTGGTGACCCTCGAAAGCTCTATCGTCTGATCCGCCAAGTTAGCGGTAAGCCCCCTACACTGAGTGACTCTGTTCGCGATGTGAACGGCAGCTTTATTGCTGACAACTCGGCCAAAGTCGAGCGCTGGCGTGAGCACTTTGAGCACCATCTCAACTTCGATACCCAACCTACATCGCCCTTGTTCTCCTCCTCAGCGGAGTTTCTTCCCTCTCCTACCTATGCAGCGCCATGCGATCCCCCCTCCGAGGAAGAAGTCGCCGATGCCATACGAAAGTTGTGCAACAATAAGGCACCCGGAGAGGACGGTATACCCGCTGAAATCTTTAAGTCTTGTGTCGACACTCTGGCGCCCTGGCTCCATGAGGTGATTGAACGAGCGTGGAGAGACGAGGTTGTTCCTGACGACTGGGGCTTAGGCATTCTTGTACCTATCCTCAAGAAGGGAGATAAGACGAAATGCGAGAACTACCGCGGCATAAGTCTCATCGACGTTGCTGCGAAGATCTTCGCTATTGTCCTACTCAGGCGATTCCAGGCTGTGCGTGACTCAAGGACGAGGCCCAACCAAGCCGGATTTCGTGCTGGACGTGGATGCACAGATCAGATATTCACACTGAGGCGCATTCTCGAATTTCACCATAGTTTCCAACAACTGACGGCCGTCTGCTTCGTTGACTTTGCCGCCGCGTTCGATTTCGTTCACCGTGAGTCCCTGTGGCGGATAATGGCGCTAGATGGTGCACCGGCCAAAATCATCGCCATGATCAAGGCCTACTATCGTTCCACTACTGCAAGAGTCCTGGTCCGTAACAATTTTTCCCAACCGTTCGGTATTCGGTCTGGCGTCCGACAGGGTTGTATCCTGTCACCCATACTGTTCAACTACGCTATTGACTGGATCCTCGCGAGGGCCCTACGCGACAGTGACGGTGTTGAATTTGCACCCGGATATCGACTGACTGATCTCGACTATGCCGATGATATCGCCTTACTTGCTTCAAGTTTTGGTGATCTGCAGTCTATGGTGTCACGAGTGAACGAGGTCGCTAAATCAGTCGGTTTGTCCATAAACGCTGGGAAGACCAAAGTATTCTCAAGCTGCATCCCTGACGAGGAGAAGGCACCCCTGGGGATTGATGGCTGTCAACTTGAAGAAGTGGACAGTTTTAAATACCTCGGGGCGCGGCTGCTGCCTAATGGACAGAGTAAGGACGACATTGTCTCCCGAATCGATGCTGGTCGCTGGGTTTTTTCAAGCCTTCGGAAATTCCTGTGGAACCGACGTGACCTCTCCATCGCCACTAAGATTCGCGTGTACCGTGCATCTGTCCGGTCTGTCCTTCTCTACGGTTGTGAATGGTGGGCTTTGCGCGTGGCGGATGAGCGAAAACTGGAGGTATTCGACCACCACTGCTTGAGGATCATCCTTCGAGTGAAGTTAACCGACTTCGTCTCAAATGAGATAGTCCGCGCTCGCTGCGACAACATCGCGAGGATAACTGAGGCCATCCAAGAAAGACGACTGAGGTGGTTCGGGCATGTTCTTCGTCGTCCACCTCAGGAGCTCAGTGCTACTGTCCTCGATCCGGCACCGTTGCCCCATTGGAGGCGTCGAAGAGGGGGTCAGTTCAAAACCTGGCTCGACACTGTCCGTCAAGACATGGAGGTGGTTTTTGGACCTTCGGTATTCGGTCTCCGTCGTTGGCGAAGGGAATGGGTTGAGCTTTCTAGATCTGCTGCCGCGGATCGTCACGCGTGGAGAGGTACAATTCGGGACATCATCGAGGCCGGCTAGATCAGGCATGATCGCAGCCGTATCAAGTAAGTACAAGTACAAGTTGGGTTGGTAACTTGACCCAAATGTGATTTAAATATCGTCGTCCGACAGGGCCTCGAATCTCAAGTGGTTAGAGCGTTGGCTGTACTAAGGCCCTCCCCTTACTGCGTGGGTTCGAATCCCGCAGAGGAGCCGGGTTTTTCACAGTTGGGTACGTATGAAATTCTTATCGTACGCTGCCATTTAGCAGAGAGAGTGAGCGCGATAATCAAAAAATAAATAAAAAACAATTTTCAAAAAAACGACGGACTTTGAATAAAGCGCCGCTGGTAAGTCTACATTTTTTCAGGAAGGGGAGGAAATTTCAAACAACGGGAACGGTGAATGATAAGCGATGTTCACAATCACACTGCATTTTAGGGTACATTTTGTAGTTGCCATCTACTTGTGGGTTTCACCCTATCGTTACCCTCGCCTTTGCACGGGGTGGAGGTCAGCATGCTTGTTTACTGAATTCTCATCAGAATTATACGTTTAGATCGCATAATCACCCTAGACTTTAGGAAAACGAACGACCATTTCCCTCATGCGTCAAGGACACGTCCGTAGACAGCGGAGAATAAAAAGTGGGGACATAAATATTGTCCTAAGATGCATAAGTCGGCGGGAGAATGAGCAGGAAAAAAGGAAAAGAAAGCGAGGAAGATCTAGGATGACAGGACCATAGAAGGTATAGAAGAAGGTCAGAATAGAAAAGAGGCGGAGATGGCAGAATCGCAGAAGAATGAAGAATAAAAAGGTGAGAGAGAAGCGTAACAGATAGATGACCCATATATAATTAAACTCGCGTCGTCTGGTGGTGTCTCGTAGCTCAGAGACTAGAGGGTCGGCTGTACTAAAGCCTCAAATTTCTATCCTGGGTCCGAATCCCACCGACGCGCCTAGTTTTTCACAGTTGGGTCAGAGTGAAGTTCGACACATCTTCAATAATTAAACCGCAACCATTAGCACCTGCTTTATCTACACAAACGGCATGCACTTGTTTCACTTAGCAGAAGTGACGTTCTAACAGGGACCAAATGCACTTTAAATGACTCGGGTAAATTCCATGAATAAAAAGAGACAAAAGCACTGACTGACAAGAAGTGTCGACCGTCGCGAACGACGAAGTCCACTGCGTGATGCACGCAGTGGGCGCCCTATGGTACTGCATGGGAATTAGTTTGTGGTAAGACGGACGGGTGCAGCAACTACCGAACTCTCTTCTTCCTGACTTTGCTTGGCAGACTGCGGTAGATCTTGTGCAGTCTGTGTTGCGGTCCTACGTCCTACCCATGGGGTTCCTGGTGAAAGTGAATTAACGACAAATCTACACCAGTTTTCTAAGTCGTACGCCATTTTTACCTAATATTACCTCTTTCTGTTTGTTTGTCTCGATTTTATGCTAAGTTTTATTGGTCGGATGGGCGATTTTAACCATTAGCATGTTGTTTACGCATGACTTTTGTAAATAGATGCAAACTGATAAGAACCCGCTGGTTGCTAGTTATGTTGAAACCGACAGTAAGCGCTTGTAGGGCTGTCACAAAATTCGTAAACGTTAGTACATGATTGATTTAGAAGTATAAGACAGTTAAAGTTTGTAAACGACTAGGTACCAATCTGCGCTTTGATTTTCCATATGTTCGCCTCCGATAACTCTGATCGCATGTTCCCCTACGCATACAACTTAGTTTCGGAAGATGAACTAACTGGTTTTACAAGATAAAAAGGCAAATCTGGTCTGAGAAGTAACGGTGTTGCTTTGGTCATCCGAAAACTGGGTGCAATGCATGATACATGAGAGCAAAGCCTGGCACCGTGTCAGTGGACTGAACCACTTGGACATATATACATATGCCGTATGGTATTACAGAAAAAGAAAAGGGAGACTAGAATGGCCATTTTTGGCTAATTAGCCGTCGTTAGCCAGTGATACTCAACCCCAAAGTGTGGAAAACCCGAGGCTTGAACTCGCGACCTGTTGGTTTAGAAGTCATCGCCTCTACCCACCGGGCCACGAGCCCGTTGCCTTGTCGGTTTTCGATCGGGAATATACAATGTTAGGAGGCTCGTGGCCCGGTGGGTAGAGGCGAGGACTTCTAAACCAACAACGCCACACTTCGGGCTTGGGTATGGCTGGCTGACGACGGCTAATAAGCCAAAAGTGGCCATTCCAGTCTCCCTTGCCTTTGTCGGAAATAGCATTCTGCCTATATATCATGCGCCGCTGTGCGGCTGCTAGTTGGGCTCGAGAGAGAGCTCTTAAGGCACAACGGAACGAGTGGTTTCCGTATGAACGATCGGTGAGCGCCCCCTACCATTATATATATATGCCATTCCACCCACATATACATATATGGAGGCTTTAACAAAACAGTTCGACATCAAGGAACTTATGCGTCTGACAGTTAAAGAAAAAAATCGCTTGTAATATGATTCAGGTCTGGGCGTTTCGTAAAAATACATCTAATAAACTGATCGCCAGCAGAGACGTTCCGAAAAGTTGGTTGTGGTCTGAGGCGTCACCTTTAGCACGGTTACTGTCATAGAGGTCTTTATGAATAAACCACTCTGACTGGCACGAATGCCATTTTAAACGTTCACAAATAGATCAATGGCAATGCAAGGGAATAAGCAATAGTGCACGACAATAAAATTGGATTAACAGGCGTACCAGGACATTTGAATGAGTAAGACTACCGAGATATTAAAAAGGTTTAACTTACCACCAACACGATATGTAAGATTGTAAGGGCGAAGTTGGTTTTATCGCTGACGTGCAGCACTGTGAAATGTGAAAACATTAAGGGGATAAGTATGTCCTGAAAATTTTATTTAACTAGATTTACTTCCTTATCGCAAGCGTTCAGACGAAATGACCGATCTCATGAACTATTAGCTGAGATTCTGAAATGCGTTTTCGATTAGGAAGGATTACTTGGTCGCGTTTGTAATACTGATTATTTTGCGGCATAATATTATAACATTTCGGACTTGACTGTATATCGGCTTTATAACGCACTTCTTTTTAATCTCCTGTTGAAAGCGTGCTCGGTAAAAAATGACTACTTATGTAGCATGCATTTCTCCCACTGATTTTCGATGGTCTTGCAAATCCAAATATATTTTATAGAATCATAAATTAAAAATAGGCATTCTTTCAGCCATTCAATAGAAAATCACATCTTTTTTATATTTTATACTGAAAGAAAGAGTATATTTGGGTTTTAAAAAAATTTCTAATTATGAGACTTTTTTAGACCGCGCAATGTCCATTCACATAGAATCGCACCTGGCCGTTTACCCCTGCTCCTCATGAAATATACAACATAAACCGCATCCTTTGCAAATTTTATGGACTTTGTGTTATATCTCTTTAATGACATAGAAAAATATAGAATTTTCTTTACGCGGAACGTATGAACCTTGTAGACTGAAATCACTAAGGGCTCATGCAAAATGATCAGGCACCAAATTATTCGGCAATCAGAAATTTTTTTAAAATCCAGTCTTACTCCTTCCTTGAGTATAAATTACAAAGATGAAGTAATTTTCTATCGATTGACTAAAAAAGCATATTTTTATTGATAGCTTCTACAAGATATATTTGAATTTGCAAGACCATCGAAAATCAATGGGAAAAATGTATGCTACTTAAGTACTCATTTTTTTACCGATCATGCTTTCTACAGGGGATTAACAACAAGTGCATTTTAAAGCCGACATCCTGCCAAATACAAAATGTTATAAGATTGTGCTAAAAATTAAATGAGTATTACGACCACGACCAAGTAATCCTTCCTAATCGAAAACGCATTTCAGAATTTCAGCCAACATTTCATGAGATCGGTTACTCACTGTTACATGAAAAAATCCAGATAGCAATTTTGTGGCACGTTTTTCTTCAGCTCTGAGCTCCGCCTAACCGCGCGTTTATATAAAAAGGTATAACAATGATAGTCATTGAAATCTGCTCCTAACCAAGTGTGACCTTCGAAAGTGCGAAATAATATTGACTGCCGTATGTGACCTACAGTGTGAAACATGATAACGTGAATTGAGGCCTTCAATTGCGAGTACCCAAAAGGCACCATTCTCTTCTGATTTGCCCAACCATTTCCAAAAATTTTCGCTTTTGCTAGCACAATATGTTTACGAGCGGCTTGCATATTTGAACAAAAATGTACGTAGCGACTGTAATCCGAAAAGTTTAATGCATTTTTACCTGTCTTTATATGACAAGAAGGTAATTGCAGCTTGAAAGTTTCACCTAACGGACTAACCGAATTTTAAAATTATACCTTTTCGCCACGTAAATCTAATTAAGCCATTTGTAAGCAAAATGCTCGTATTTCGGAAAACCACAGGTTTTATTGATTTAACATGTTAAATTTGAAATCTGTGACTTCACGCCCTAAAACGCATTGATAGCGTCAAATGACAAATGTTCTAATACTTTTCTGCCCTTTGCGAATTCTCAGTAACTTGACTCGGAAAGGTCCTCCGCAAAATGCCTAGGTTATCTTTTAGGCATTACTTTTCTGGTCTCAGGAAAAAAACTTATCATTCTTCGTGATTTATGGTAAGGTGATGCCATAATAGCAACATAGTTGCTAGCCAAACGCCCATAGACCTTGAATAAACTAATCTACTCCAACATTGTGGATAATTTCTAAGAAAACTGGAAAGCGACAGACTTTATAATAATCTAGTATTAATATGCCCAATTCGCTTTGCACGTAAAGTCTTTGAAAAGAGTTTAAAACTAAACATAAGAACGAAAAGGCCTTTAGCATGAACAGAAAGGTGATTTCTTGCAATTGCCACTGAAAAATTACCACTTATTTTCAAGAAAGTGTTAAGATCGACCAAGGGTACAAAATCTACCTTAGCTACGCTCTGGAAAAAGTGAAGTACGCAGACATCTGTAAGCAAGATATCTAATGAAAACGCTTTTTAAATAGCTGAGCTATAATATAAAGCTTTAAATTAATCTAAGGCCAACTTATTGCCAACTCTCGTCATGGTCATTCCTATTTCTGGGGATTACTTCTTGATTTAGGGTGAGACAACAAAAACTAGCCAAACTGCCAGCTGCATCGGAAAGTGTGCCCTAAAACTCATTATGTTAGTAAATGCTTTCAAGGCGTTTCGTATTTTGAATGTTTTGATAGATAGATAAAAAGAAAACATTCGACAGTGATGGGCAACCGATTAAAAAACTGTAATCGCGAAGTATTCACCGCTATGTCAAGGAGGATTTAAAAAATAGCGTGCTCCAGCACCAGAAGTTAATAGAAGGAAATTTGACTGAGGAAAATCTCCCTCGCCATATAGAAACGGTGTGTTTGCGATTGCGCCTGAAAATTCTATTTAAATTTAATGGCCACTAACCGGTCTATCAACATGTGGCCTTAAGAATAATGTCAAAGACCCATTTGACTTAATCGACCGCATCCTTAATAATGTAAAACTAGAAATATTACAGCCAGCTCTCGTGAAACCGTTTTATAATCTATACTCAAACAATAAATCAATTACAAACAGGCATTTTTTATATTAAAATTATTTTTGAAGTGTTTCTAAATATAAACTTCATTTAAGGGAATTGCCGAAATGTTGGTTTACTTATCCTGTTCTACTTTTTAAATTTTTCAGCATGATGGATCTTCATATATATTAAACAATCAAGGGTGTAATCTGTAATGATTTTTGACGCGGCTGGAATAGTCTGTGCTTCGAAAACTTAGTATTTTTAAATAGTGTGATTGTATTGTTCTGTTCTCTTTATGTTTTCAATTTCCCCAAAGTCTTTCAATGTTATTTCAGAGCATTGATTTATACTTTCCTTTAGTTTGCGAAATATCAGTTATCTTTCGTAAGGTTCATCATCTTTTCTGAGATAGATCACATGTTGTGTACTACTTATTTAAAGTTTTCAAATCAAGCGTCCCCTATGCGGTAAGTGAACCAACACATGAAATCTCTACAGAAATTCCGAAGTATAGTTTCGTTTCGAAAAGATTAATTAAACAGGGTTATAAAAGCAATTACTGTAGTGCATAATTTTATAATTATTCAGTTACCCTAGAACGCCGGCTTTCAAAAAAACGTCTTCTTGGTTACATCCAAAACTCATATTCTGCAAAAGGAGGCTACGTAAGTGACATGCATTTTTCGTTGAATTTCGATGTTCCTAAAGATTAAATTATGTTTCATGGAAAAAATGCATAACAATATTCATTCCTTTGCTCATTCAGTAGACAATTACGTCTTCTTTCAATGTTACGCCCAGAGGAAGGATGAATATGGTTTTATAAAACGTTTCCAATTCCCGAATAATTTTCAACCTGAGATACCGCAACACTTGCATTCAGGGTTCCCAGACTACAAGTCGTATAATTTCCGCGTAAGAAATCCACACATTTATCGACAGCATTAAAAGGAAACTACACAATGTTTATAAAATCAAGCATTGGATCAGAACCACATTGGTAACTTTACAAGTCACATTGGTAAATGCAGAGACGTGACGTTTCATGAGGGGACAGTTCACAATATTAAAAAAACAAACAATTATAAACTTTTTAAAACTCAACTTTGGCCTTCCTTTGTGTATAAAATTGAAGGAAGACGAAATTTTCCACTAAATGAGTAAAATAATGAAAATGTTTGTGCATGTTTTACATGCCATGTAGTCGGATCTTTAAAAGCATCGAAAATCAATAAAAAATGAATGCTTCTTCAGTAGTGACCTTTACAAGGCATGGGTTTTCGATGCAGCTGGAAGCAAAATGTTTGAAAGCCAGCGTCCTCGGCTAATTGAATTCTTCTAGAATTATGCTGCATAATGATTAGTTGTACAACCCTACTTAATTAATCTTTTCGAAATGGAAACACATTTCGGAATTTCCGTTGAGATTAAATAAGTTAGCCCTCCTATTGTATGGCCGTTTACACAGTGCGGCTCGCAAAATACGTCCTGATCTATTGGCTGAAACCCATAATTTTCCTTCGGAATTAATTATGGACTTTAACTGGATTTTTAACAGTTATCTAAATGATAAGCATTTAAAGGGTCCCTCAAAACATGGACCAGGATGCTTTCCAGTAAATCACGACGAGGTGTCTGAGCGAAAGCCATACAGAAGTATCCTCTCGCAGTAGAGACCTGTAGAATTGATAGCGAAATGTGTTGCCTGTTTTGGAGAATTTCCAAAATTTTCCCATAATCAAATGCGTCGTAGTTCTGCGCATTTATTTGGCCGTAGTATCAGGCTCATCTGAACCAAGTGCCAGCCGTTGGCTTGGAAGCAGTTTGCAATTACCTTGAAAAGATACAAATCGGACTGATATTGCGCACTCAAGTCATCAGCACCCAACCTCCTCCCGCCCCAACCTCATCTCCAGCAGAGATTCCAAGGAAAGGCTGATCTGTAGTCTTGTATTTGGCCTTGACTTTTGGGCTCCACTTTGCCACTTATCCATGTCGTAGACTTGGGCAGTTTATACTGATTTTTAGGTCCCATTCCCTAGCAAATGTTCCCTGAGTTCTCAGATATAAACACTCGACTTTTTAGCAGAACAATGCGCTTCTTTTAATGCGGACGTGTGCAGCAAATAGATACATTATCATAAACACTGTCGGGAAAATATCGCGCCGATGCAACCTCACATGTAGCGCCGGCGATCAATGACGTGCTGGGTGCTAGTTGACGCTCTCACGCATTTGTGAGATACGCCGTTCAACGCCCGTTGTGTGAAATCCTGCTCCTTGTGTTTTGGGGGACCTGGTCGTGCATGTGGCGCGCACAGGCGAGGTCGATAGACAATATCAGCCACCGCGCCCATTCCCCGAACCTGTAAACTGACCGGCTGGGTTGTGGAAGTGGGAAAAAAGACTGAGGTCTACCACTTAGCGAATTTTTCTTACTGTAAATAATCTGACGTGCTTGAAGCTGTCACGGTGCGCTAAATGCCGTGGCTTGGAAGGTTTCCAACTGACGGGTTAATTTGAACCTCCCAGTCGACACAGTGTTGTGTGTTTGCAGTCGGAGAGCCAGGCTGCAATGGTTCATCCTAAATGTGGTCTCTGTGGAATCCCCACTTTAAGGGATCCTAGCCGGGTGTTGGCGGCACGCCTAGGTGCGACTTCACCCATACCAACTTCCATTTACTTCGCTTTTGTTGGTTAAAAACCTGGTTGTTTGATGTGTGGACCGGGGAGTGTGGAGTGGATTGCCAGGATGCGGTGTCGACCGAGCCATCCACCCGAGGCCGCCCCCGTCTCCAATCTTCTCGACTCTGTCTTGACACCGGGCCCAGGCGGAGTAGGAGAGAGTGTGATAGATGCACTGCAAGACTACTCTCAAAAGTCATCGTCCCTGCTCCCGCCCTGCTGTGGGATTTACGGTGAGCATCGTCGGACGCAATGGTCGAACTGCCGGGTGCTAGTTTAGAAGAGACACCATCTTGCCATAAATGTGTCAACGTACTACCTTCTGCTACATATCACATTCGGGACTTAGCTTAGCGGAACCTTACTCACACCAGCAGAATAAGTGTCAGCCTTAAAAAAGTCGCGTTCCTGGAGGGTACGGATGTTGAGAACGCACGAAACGGACCGCAAGATACCATCTACACCAATAGCGGCAATGCCCCAGATGTTTACCGTTGATGGGCTAAACCACGAAATGTCAACCGAGATGCCGAAATGCATTTTCGTTTCGGAAAGATTGATTAAGAAGAGTTGCATAATTAACCGTCATGCAGCGAAATTCCATAATAATTTAGTTACAACAGAATACTGGTAATCTTGGCAACGTCAGTTGATTTTACGAACCTCTGTACAACCTGCTAAAGTCATTTGGCGAATATAGGTTTTCGGTAATTTATCGTAAGGCTAATACAATTATATGGAGAGTTAACTTTTAAGTCGTGGCCAAGATTAACACGTCTCAGGGGGTATGGTTACTTAAAGTCCTTGTTTTTACCCTTTCTGAATGACAGATGCAGTGTGTTAAGGACAGCGGAGGTAAAAAAGGGTGAAAATGGGGAATAAGTGTTTGGTTGTGGAGGCTGTATGCATGTGAGACAGGTTGGGGCGACGTGTGATCCCCACTGGGAGTCCGCTAGCGAAGACAGACTGCCTGTGTCAGCGTCTACTGATAACGAAATGCTGGGTTTGCTAGTCTAATGGACACCGCTTCGGCTCTAGCTAGCATTCGTTTGCGCAGGCCTTTAGATTAGTTTGCCGATGCCTGGTCGATAACTATAAAGGCTTCTCTAGCGTCGACTTGGTGGTTTGTATCGATTAGACGTGTGAGAATCGAACTCGAAATCGATCGATTTTCCCCCACACACAGCCAGGCAGGCACGTGTCTACGTACCCTCTTTTCCAGACGCCTCGATGTATGGCCAATATCTCTCACTCCACAGGAGCAGGTGATTGGATAACTACACATGAATGTGGCCTGCAACGGCAGTCGGTCTTTGCTCCTCAAATGTAGAAGTGGAGAGTTTTTGATCGATGCGCGCAAAGTCGCTGCGGGAATGCACTTGTGAGAGCTGTCCTAAGACGTCGTCTCACTAATTTGCTTGTTGCGTCCCCTAGAAAAGGCTGTCTTAGAAATAAGTTTTTTCCCTCCAATTGCAACTGCAGATTTTGTCGTACGCTGTCTAATATTCTGGAGGATAAATGTCTCTTGGTAGTTGTTTCACGGAGCGTGTTTTGCAGCTGCTTGCGTTCTGTCTCCTCAACAGTCTCAGCAGAGCAGATTCGTCGCACTCAAACCGTTAATACTGGGATAAATTTCCGTTTTAGATTTAGGGAAACAAAACTGTGAAAATAAGTGTATTGTCCTGTCCGTCTCTCCTTGCGGAATACCCTGCATTGGATAGACGAATACTATTGCCCGTGTAGAAAGACATGGAGGGGCTCGATTTCTTCGTTCAGCTCAGTCTCCGGGGCAAACTTCAGAGAGGGTTGCGCCTTGTAAACTTTCAAATAAGGCCATCGATGGAAGTTTTCACAAAACCCGCCAAAAGCAAGTATGAAGATGAATCAACTGTATCTCAGCTATCCCCAGAGAATAACAAAACTGAAGTGACAGCAACAGATTTCAGACGCCTTCAGCCTGGAATCCACTAACATATTAGACCCCATTTTAATGCTGAAAAATTTGTAATTTCTATGCGGTTGTCAGGCAGTTAGAATGGATAAGGTGCGTCTACCAAAGCCAATTTCAGAAAACGAAGATGAGATCACTTTAATAAGGAATTTATTGGCCTGACGTTTCGGATTCTCACTCGAATCCATCATCAGAGACATTCGCAGATGATGATGGATCCGAAACGTCAGACCAATACATTTCTTGTTCCTAAAAATCGCAACTTCATTTTCTGACCTGCTACCTGAAACTCGCCTGTTAGTTTCTTTCAGCAGTCTTTTTGGGCACGAAGCGCTCCGATCGGCTCGACGCTGGGAAACCTCTGCCCTTAGAGAGTCGTCCACATATGCGCAGATTCGATTTCTGCACAGATGTCTCGACAACAATGTGCTGCTCAAGTGTGTTTCATACAAACCTCCGGTCAACGCAGATCAGGCGAGACGGGCAGTACTTCAGCAAAGTCAACTTCGTGGCGACTTTATTGCCTGTGCTTAAGAGTAAGGAGATCAAACTGATGCCACAGGAAATTTTGAGGCTTTCGCTAGAAATGCGAACCATTTTTGACAGGATTGGCGGGCATAGGACCCTGCCATCAAATATTGGAACGACACGATTAAGTCCTGCTTGAAGATGCGACCTTGGTGAAATCGTCTGAGCCATAAAGGGAGTCAATCCAAGTCAAGCCTATCCCCACTGGAAGTGAAACTCCATTCTAACGGCAGAATAAAGGCAGTCGACAGTCCTATGCGTCAAATTTCCCTTTAAAGGCGCATTCTTCGGAATGTAAAATACACTTTATTTTAAACCCATAAACATGACTCACTGATAGTATGCCTAGATCATTCGTAGTGCGTATGAGACTTACAGCAAAAATGGCTTTATATAAATGAAGTTGCGGGAGTCTAAAATAACACCAGTGATTCGTCTCGTCAGTGCTTTAAGCCACTGACTGTGAGCTGCTCTGCAGGCGAGTGCGTGTCTACGATGCAAGCAGCGCAAAACGGTAAACTCGAGCGCGATCGATAAAACCATGATGGTTTCTGCACATGTTGGCACACAGACTGTAAAGTGATATCTCAAAAGACAGTTAGCCTGATCCATTAAATGAACGGTGACGCTAGATACCGGACAAGAATGTATAGAGGGAAATTTAAAAATGGATGTAGTTTTATAAACAGTATCTTCTCACTGCGATGCAATTAAGAGGAAATTTCCCCGAAACTTACATGACTAAAAATCCTTCCTAAAGAATTCTGATTAATCGATGCATGCCTACGGCTGTTTTGATGACAATATGCAGAGCTAAGCCTTCAAATTCTACAAAGTAATTAGTTATGATAAGAACAGATTTTCTCCTAATAATAACTACGTAAGGCGATATTTTGAAGATAGTCTCTACTGGGGCGAGGAGCTAGAAGCATCCGCGAGGTCAATGGTGGTAAACTGCCCCACCATGGTTAAGACCGGCTTGTGTCAACGCAATGTGTCCGCGTTCGTTTGATTCACACCGGATGGCAGCCAATTAATAGAGACTAAAATATCCACCGGAGTCACGGTGTCGCCAAGCCAAGGGTGGAGTCACACGTGACACATCCTATCGACTGGCAAAGGGGGCTTGGTCAATGCCGTCACGCCTGACACAATTCGGACGCCTGCGTTTTCGGAAAAATCGTCTTCTCTTAAGGCAGAGCAGGGCCTACGTACCTCATGAATTGCGATTTTTAGTCACTAACTCTTCAGTCTGATGAATTCGGGTTTTAGGATTCCGTAGTGATTCGGGATTTGGGAAAGGTCACACAAACTCCTAGGGCATGCGGGCATTTAGAAATGCTTCTCAAAGTGTGGAGGCTCTAACGGTAGAAAGCGACGGCGAACGGAAGATCAGTTCTGTGAACCCTATTCCCGACGACTGCCGCAAGGTGGCGTCTCTGTCTGACATATGGCAGTTCGATCGTTGTCTTTGGTGATGTCTTCCAGCGGGGGGGGACCGTTGCTAGCGAGCGAAATCGCTGATAGTGGGAGTAGACTTGCGCAGCACCTACCGCACTCAATCGCCCCCTTCCTAACCTGGACCCGCTATTGTGGCAGATTAGAAGAATCTTCGTTAGATGATATTTCCTAGTATTTGTCTAACCCCCACTGTCTGTAAAGGTCCGATTGTCCAAAATTTCTTTGCAAAAAACTAGTTCTGTTGTCCTGTAAACATGTTGTTCATATATGTGGCGATTTTGACGGTGTAAACCTCCGCCCCATAACTATATGAAGCTTTTTTGACCAAATTTCCTTTAATACTCGAGCGGACGCCCTCTTCCATGTTGGCCACATTTTGGTTTTCGACCCTAGGTTTTTTAGTGTTAAAGGTAAAGCTCCGTTGTCCTATTCCAATTGCTCTGTACTATTGGACCTTCTGCAGGTCAACTACACTTCTAAGCGCAAGTTGGAAACCTGACCAGAAATGGGAATTTCTTACGAATGGAAGAGTATATGCGCAGCCTAGGTTCTTGTGTCAAAACTGTCCTTGCCACTACACAGGCCAGACAGGACGACGTATCAGCTGAAGAATACTTGAGCACGAACGGGCCGTTCGAAGAGGCGACCCACTATCTCAAGTCGCCACTCACACGCTGGAGGAAAGCCATGAGTTTGACTTCGCCAACACGCGGATATTAGTGCCAGCCGGCAGCAAGACGGGGCGAGAACTGTTGGAGGCGTAAGTGTCGGACACCAACTCTATAAACAGTCACTCTCTCCGCCCACGCAGCCAGGTTGCGCAGCTCACATCTTCGCGAAGTACAAACTGCGTCACCACGTCGGAGACCATCGTGGAACAGGCGGCATAAACCAGATCTAGCCACGGACGCAGTCCCCCCCCCCTCACGGAACAACGATATAAATGTTCACACGTTGTTGCAATCTAGCAGCCTCAGATGATGAACTTCAGTTGGAGTTCCAAAGCTCAGGCCAATAAATCTACCGTCCCAGTGATCGTACCCTCGTCTCCTTTTAAATGGGAATTTCTCTCCGCAACACATTCTCAGAAAAAAATTTATATACTTCAGGGTTCAATTTCTAGTATTATCCCAGAATTTCTCAAAGTATTGTGTTCTAGCTGTCTTAGGAAACTCTGGGTGTAAGCTCTGATATTTGTTGTCCCACTGTAACTGTTATAGTTCGACCAGTGTCTCTTTATCATGTCTCAGATGCCTAAAGCGTCCTAAGCAAGTCTTCAATTGACTACGAAAGCGTAATGATTTAAAGGGCCTTAGCCTTTTGATTGAAAGGAAAACTGCCAGACTGAAAGATTGATATCTTAGTCGGCTTGATTCTTCCGCTTTTACCTCTTTCCTTTGTTGGCTTTTGGAGGGATCATAGGCGTCTCACTGGCTAACGTAACACAACTGGCACATATGAATGTTGATTTAAATTCATTAAATGAAAAGGCAGTCCCTACTCCGAATGACCCAAATCTTCCCTCAAACTATCATCCTCTGCCCAGTTGTGCCTTCGCTCTCCTGTCTGTGACAATAAAATAAAAATATCTTAAAAAGGTCAGGTGGATCAATATCTGTCAGGCAGGGTGATGTCTCACCATTTCCTAAAAGTACTATTAACGCAACGTTTTGTCATACTTTGTCTCATCTTACTTTTTGTGCAGGACAATAGTCGAGAATTCAGGTTAGATAGGCTCCTGTTTCCTTCCATTGGCCATCAGGTGTGCAATCTCAGGAAATGACTAAAATTCTGAGGTGTTCGTTAATTCTAAAAGCTCGCCCTAGTAGGGTTGTAATAGCAACTACCGTGTAGCTTGGTCCTAAGAGATTTCTCTCATGTCAAGATACCAGCTTTCCAATTAGCTCTTTATCAACTACCTGTGTAAACCAAATTCCGTAAAATCAGCAACTAAATTTGCCGGCGTCTTCATGGGCAGGCTGGAGAGATTTTAACCAAGCGATCAGATCAAAAAGCTCAAACATTACGGTCGCTACGTTGATGATATCTTTGCGATTGAAACCACAGAAACCGACGTTGCTGCCCTCCTAAATGCTGTAAACCGAGCACATCCATCGGTCGAATTTACTTCGGAGATGGAATCGGCCGGTTCGCCTTCCTTCTTAGATGTCCTTCTAAACAGGATATATGACGGCAGCATCCGAAGGAGCGTCTATCGGAAGAATACCTGGTCTGGACTATACATGAACTTCGCTAGTTTCGTGCCTCTCCAACAAAAACGATATCTAGTCAGGTGTTTGGCACAAAGGGCTATAAAAATCTGTCCAACAGGTAGTATCCAGGGGGAACTTAGAAAAATCCAGGACTTGCTTCGCGAAAACGGGTAACCTGACAGGTTCATCGCAAAGAACCCTGCCGAACGACTCGCAAAACCCACCACACTGGCCGCCGAAAAGAAAACGTTGTTCCTCAAAGTCCTCTTCCAAGGAGACGCTGCAAGTGAGCTTCTAAGAGTACACCTTCACCAAGCTGCCTCGGGAACCTTCCCAGCAGCAAGGGTTCGCACATCATTCCCTACTAACCCTATTTTTCGCGGAGAATGCAAGGACAGGCTGCCAGCTCAGACCGCCTCAATGTGCATCTACTCATTCACTTGCTCCTGTGGAGCAGGTTATATTGGTCGCACGAGTCATCGCCTTTCCACAATGATACGAGAGCACCTTCCCCCATTTCTTGCAAAAGGTGAAACTAGGAGAATAGACAGCGCCATCCTTGCGCATGCAGTGAATTCACGGCATCAGGTGGATCCCGCTGAAGCATTTAGTGTGATTTACAAGGTCCCCTCGAGCTACCCTAAGCTACTGGGCCAGCGCCTGTTAGCATCAGCAGAAGCGGCAGCCATAAGGTTACGAAGACCGACCCTATGCGCCCAGAAGAACCTTGTTCAGGCTCCGCGCTTACCGTGGTCAAAGGTTGACTAACCCCGCACAAGTTTCTACGCCCTTCCGCTCTTGTCTAGCCTGTAATTTAAAACCTAACTTTTATCGATTTTTTCATTCACTGTACCCCGGTCCCAAATAATTTTAATGGCTTGACAAGAAGTTATTGAAAGCAACGTTCGCTCGCCACTATTTCTTATGAATTTGTTTCATTAGTTTATGAAAACCTTATAAATTTAAATATTTTTTTATAGAAAACATACACAAAATATCCTTTCTTCTACTCATATGATTGCAAAGAACGATTTCTTTGAGGATCCACTCGAACAAAGAGTACCCTTTGATGTTAAAGATGTTTTTACTTGTGAGACCGTGAAGCGCACAGTCATACCTCATTGCGCCAGCACATTCGTTAATGCTGCTTATAAAGTGGAAACTGTGGTTCATTATCATTGTAAACTTTCGTGGACCCTTAGTGTTCTTTTCATAATAACCTAAAAAACGTTTGATTTTCCTTGCACAAAAAGCATGCAGCTTGTAGTTTTAAAGACCCTGAATGCAATTGTAACGCAAGGTCGGATTCCAAAGTTATTTGGAAGATGAGAGAGTTGTTTTAGTCAAAGGACAGTATTTCTTCAAATGCAGAATTGAAAGAATACATAATACCTACCAAACGAATACAAGAAAGAGTATTTTACGTACGCTTTCTAATTAATCCTAAAAATTCGCGCTATCCATGTAATCGCCTTTCATGATGTGTAGCTTATGTAAGGGGTCGACAAGGAGTTCGTTGGGAAGTCGGCATCCTAACGTGACTAAAATAGCTAGGTATGAGGAAGTTCTTCTTCTAAAACAAAGTGATCGAGGCTTGGACTGCTCTGCCTGCAGATGTCGTCATGTACACCTCCGTCGAGGCTTTTAAGCGCAAGTTTGACCAGTGTATCATTAAACGTCATAATGTCACCTGACCGATATCGTCTTAGCAGTTCGCTCAAACAGTTTACTAATGTTATTATTTTACTGCCTGTATTTCAGTAACTTTTTTTAATGTAACAGGCACGTGAAATTTGAGATTTGGCATTCAATTCGTCTCCCTCAGAAACTGGATAGCGCCAATTATACATAGACGAACTGCAGTACAGCAAATTTAATAACGTTAACGTTTTTAACACTTGGAACTAGTCGTTTATCTGCCTGGTTTCGAAAACTTTGCCAATCTGAAAAACTTCTGTAGCTGTTTGATGTTACATTTTCATATCTTTGATATAGTTCGCTTCCTTGCAAGAAACAGGGAGTTCAAAGGTTCAGCACCTATGCTTCCCGCAAACAAACTGAAACTAATGATAACTAATATTAAAACTCTCTTGAAGTAATACTTTGGAGTCGAAAACACACTTCAGATATTCAGTCAGAACTTAATGAGATAACACATCTACCTTCTTAACTTTTGTTTTGCACTCCACAGAGAGATACCAGGATGTGTCTTACTCCGTTATCCATTTTGCCGTAGTTAATTTGCAACTAATGCGACCCAAGACGTTTTGGCTCCATTTGGGCTGCTTAACAAAATCTGACCATGCCTCCGCAGTAAATTAGCTGAGGACCATCCTGCAATAACAAAGCATACTGCTTTGGAAATTTGCCTTCATGAAACAAATTAACTAGTAATCTCGAGGCTTCGATCACTGGTAAACAAGCTAACGCTGAAACCATACATCCTCAGAAACGCCCAAACACGAATGATGTCTACTGAAGTATGAGTGCTCCGCTGATAGAACGCATTCAGTCGCGGGAACAAGGAATCTAGAAAGTGGCTACATTTGCAGATTAATGTGCATAATCGTAAATTGAAGCAATGGTTTCCCCGAATAAATTTGAACAAGGCAAAGGCGACAAAGCATGCAGAATTTACTGACGTCATAAATTTCGAGACCTCTCATTCAGCTGCACACGGTCATCGCATAGTTATATGACAAAGCAAACTGTTCAATCAACGATCGACCTAGAGAGATAAAACGTGATAGGTAACCCGAAACATGGGTCTAGTATGCGGGTGCATATGGCAAAGGGGGGTGGGGGAGAGAAGTCATTCAAGTATGAGAGAATTTGTGCGGCGTGATTTAGAGTGCAACTTGCGGGGAGCATTCAGTCATGCCGGGGAGAGGAGGGCGGGTGGGGGCTAAATGAGAGGGCGCACATGGGAACAGGGTTTCGTCCATAATCGATAATTACCATGGCAGTGCCAGGTTTATCACATGGTCCAGCTGCTTACAGAGTTCTGGTTTCCTCCTCCGTATTGCAGCGGCCTCTGCAAAGCGCAAGAGAAGCCCGGTCGTCGCCCGAAACAGGAACTGGAATGCAACCATTGGGTCCACCGAATGGCCCGTGTCCACTAGGTGCTTTGTTATTGAGCTGCTGGGTACCTTATTTTCTGCCCTAAGCAGCCACTTCGCATTTGTGTTCAGCTGATCGAGCTGCCAATTGCCTTTGCGTGCGCCCGATGTACTTGCATCCGCAACTACATGTAAACTCATAAATACAGTTTGGTGTGACGTGCATAGGCAAAATGTCTATAGCTGGTCTAACTGGGATGGCGGTTGTGGTGCTTATGAACAACAATTTAGAGGCGGCATACGTCCTTTCGATAGTGCACCGAAGTCGTCGTTTGATCACGTTTGACACGTTATCACACTTGAAGGGGAGGTAGATGGTCACGGACTTTTTAGGTACCGATATTTATTCAGGAGTTTCTTGTCTAGGATGGCGATATTTATCGATGAATTTTTTCGGATACCCGTTTGCAAGAAAAACGTTCTTTAGGAAAGTAAGCTCGTAATCGGTCGTATCTGAGGTGCAAATTCTGGTGGCTCTATTGAACAGACACAAAACCAAGTTCCGTTTTCTCTGAATTGGAACGAAACTGAGGACGTGTATGTACATTTGAGCCTCTGACATTTTCAAAACATTTTAAAACGCATCTTCATCTTCTGAACTGCTAACTGGAACTCTTTGTCCGCTTCTATCAGCAATTTTCAAAACTTTCCAAAACTACCGACCGTTCCTGCGCTTCCCGGAATTCATGAAATCTTCCCATTAATGCCTTCTGTCGAATTGTTCAATGAAACTTTCTTTTGTAAACATGTGAGGGTGCAAAATTCCTCCGCGTTCCTGATGCGAGCGCCGTGCTAGTGACTGAGAAGAACAGTATTACATCGACCCACTTTGTACTTCCCAGACTGCATCAGACTTCATTTCAGAACGTCTTCATCGATTCAGAGGTTATCTGCAACTGTTAAGGTCTGTACGCCGCTCTGCGTCTCATAGAAAAAGTCAATGCAGATTCTCCTTAATGTGAAAAGGAGTTTATTTGGTACTTCCAGAGGAAGGGGTTTTTAATCTGTACAAATTGCATATCCGTTTTTTTGAAATAGCCAGCGAGGACTGTTATTTAGCATGCGGCTGCGAGAATGACCACGACCTGGAGAGCAAGCTGAAATTGGATAGAGTTATATATCACTGACAACATGTAAGTACCGTGTTTACTTAAAGTTAGATATTGAATGTATCGTTTTCAATAGGGTTTTTCAAAGGCATTGCCTATTACTCTTAAAATATACTGACCTACTGGCCTATTGAGATTGATCTGCTCTGTCTATCTTTAAATTAAAAGAATTTGACTTTTTACGACACGACCTTAAATTTGACCTAGCTAGGTCGTTCATAATCCCATTTTTCCTTGTTAAATATTTCTTACGAATGAACATACTTCATGAATAAGCCACCTAGTTAATAGGCTGATGCGTGAAATTAAATGGCGCAATTAAACTAGGGACTTTATAATGTACTACGGTAATCATTCGACTTTGAGTTTTTAACTAGTCAGAACGTAGAAGGGGGTGTCACTGAACCACTGAAATTCATAAGGGAATGCTTATTTTACCATGTAAATTTTAAGCTCTGAACAGGATTTTGGTCGAGAAATTAACTAAGTCATGAAGCACATGAGGCATTTTCAGGGAAGGGGGAGAAATCACTTAACTATTAGATTAGCAAGTGTCGCCCTAATGCAAGAAAATCTTTAGAATTGTTTAGAAAAGAATTGTTCAGGTACAACTTTCCGAAGGTCCTTAAAATGAAACATCATATGCGGTCACACCAACGAAGGTGTTGTGAAACCGCAAACCAGTTTCTGTATTAAGAGCATATACATCCGGCTTTTCCAAACGCGAGCACTTAATTCGAAATTACGGGGGCAGTCAATTCAAGGACACTTACGCTGCATGACGTAAGAATTGTCCACAAGCGCTATCCGAATAGTTGTAAATTTACTAAGGACATTCTAAGTTGACCGTTCCTTGCATGTGAAGAGTATTTTGAGGAAACTGCTAGGAGACTACTTTAGGTTTTATCCAGAAAGCGGACTGCAATGAAATTGACCAAAACAATTTTTTTCCTGGAAAAAAACTGAGTATGCCCTACCATCAATAAAATGTTACACAAGAATGTTCCAGACTCCCTCAAATATAGAAATGATCACTGAGTACCTTTTCCAAACCATGCTAGTATTTCGATGTCAGAAAATAGAAAATTTAAAACTAAATGAATGACCTGCGTCTGACCAGCGCCTTTACTACTCAATCTAAATTTAAGTGCGCTTTTAGGGAAAAAATTAAACCCTACAAATCATTCTAATGCATGAACAAATGTGTGATATATGGTTGGATATTTGATGTCTTGTTTCACGTGGTAAATAACCGGATGTATCATCTTCCGGAAATCATAAATGGTGCCATCCAAACTCGGTTTACTTTCAAAAGTCCTGACAGAGATACTTCAAGCGTATACCTTACTTGCGTGCTTATACCTACCCCAGAGAGTTCAAAGTCGTAGCTGGAAACGTTTCCAAACAGCTTAGGTGATCTCTGGTCAAACAGTCAGGGTCTAGTGGACCGTTCCTGGTGTGACCATAGTGGCACTCTCGCCTAAGTCACCTCCAAGTTGTCACTACCGTGCAGTTCTGGAAACGTCATGTGCGGCAGACACGGTGTCCATCCCCCGTAATCTTGTTTTTTGTCTGGACATCAGAGCAAGGTTGGTGAGGTAAAATGTGCCAGACGCCGTGCATGTATGTCTCACTGGCAGCTCCATAGTCGATTTCAGCGATGTCAGTCGTCTGTTCCACAGCAGATGGAGTTGAGGGACGGCGAGTTGCGCGTGAATTAGTATAAAGTGCTGGTAGACTTGCGTTGCATCTACCGCACTCCCTTCTCATCTCCCACCTTGTTCCAATGTCACAGGTGAGCGAAAAAGACGGGAAGCGGGAGACGGCGCAAGTAGTCGGCACGGCAATAGTCGAAAATTGGTGTGCCACTACTCCACCTGGGTTACAATGGATACTGCCCAGGATTTTCAAGAATAACAAAAAACGTGGGCATCCTGGATCCCAATTGGCGCTGTGTGAGACTGCAAATGGCCGTGTCACAACACTACGGGCGATGACACCTGTTGTGTTTTCATATTTCAAATAAAACCTGCTGGACGTCGACTTAACCTCGGGTTTGTCCAACGCATCTACCTCCGGGTCCCTAATCCTCCTGCCGAACACGCTCCGTGCGGCATGCGGTCGTCTACGTCGGTCCGACAGCAAGGTATTCAAGACCGGACAGACCACCTGAGTATTCGGCATTTTGCTTGCTTTACAAACCTATGTAAACAACTGCAACCACTTGTCTGTCCTTTAGGCACGACCTAGCATTGTTGGGACATGTTCTGAACTCCTCAGCGATCACGGGTGTCTGGGAGATCAACTCATACTTCTGCTTATCATGGATATATCAGATGAAGGCAAAAGTTCGATTTGCAGGTGTATGCGTAAGTTAAAAAGAAAGGTGACCAAGAACCCGAACATTCTGTTGATTGCTCTGAGCTTTCTATTGCGTACAGAAGTCGATCTCAAGAGAGAGCAGCAGCAGCAGAAAAATCGATGGCTATTATGATGTGTTAGTCGATCATCGGTCGATGGCGCAGGACTGGAGGTGGCTGCACATGGCTCTATGCACCGGCACCAGATCGATAAATCGATTTACTGAGTTCGTATTTGAGACCCAGACTTCAATCAATTCTCGGTCTGTTTTGTTCCCGGTGTGGGCGATTATCTTCGTAGCTGCGAAGTTAAACTCATGTCATCTGTCTTCAGCCGCTTAACAAAATTCGGTCTAGTAATTGTAGCGCGGCGAATTAAAACACGGCAACGATCGGGTGAAGAACTCCAAACATGCACACGGCCAAACAAGGTGCCTGTCTTACGGGGAAAGGGGTAGTAGGGCTTTCACGGGTGGGACCTATGTATTCATAGAGGAATGGCAAAGTAAGTATAGATAATTAGTAAATTCATTTTTCGGGCGGAAAAAAGGTTATGCATTGATATACAGCAACCGACATTGGGCAGGACAATTAATTAAAATAAACATTAAGTGTCTACAACGATCGGTTCTCAGCTCTCAGAGCTGAGGTCACTGTTGATAACCCACCAGCCCGTCCACAACAGACGATCTATCCTTGAAAGATGAAACGCCAAACCGAAATAATCGTACTGGACTAAAACCCAGTTAAATAAGTATGGCCACAGATGCTTGGGGTCCTTCAACCGATCATTACCTAAAACACTGCTTAGACGCCAGAATTCCAGAAGAGCGTATTTCGTTCTCTCCCATACTACGCAGGGTGCCGTTAAGAAACATGGGGTCTTACCAGAAGGAATATTAGTACAATGGGAATAGGTAGGATTTTGTTTTCGGCAGCTTCGACAAAGGCTGTTATTTTGTCCGTGCAACCAGGCACGTTTGCGTTCTTAGCGGTTTCGGCATCGCAGGAGGGTGGCAAGTTTTCGGCGTCTTTTGTGCAGCAGGGTCCCGGCAATTGTGTCATTCCTAAATCTTTTTAGGAAGAAACATTTCATATAACATAAATCAGGCGCACTTGAATAACAAAAATATTCGTGGGGCTCTGCAGGTCATGAATAACCAGGAACTTACCTGTGAAATTCTTGTAGCCGCCCAATCCACAGCAGATATCGTCATTGCTCTGCAAATGAATAAGTCGGGGCTTAAACAGAGTTAACGCGCTTTCTTAGACTACAGGACATTGTTCTGTCAAATAATAATGTCTTATCTGATATTTAGTCGAAAAAAAATTTTTAAACTTGTCCTCTAGCATTCAGCTAAGTCGCCCGTTCTGGTCATTCCAAAGTCTGAATGCAAATATCACTACCGAATCCTTTTTTTCCGGGCTGGCCTGGTGAAAACCAATTTACACTTAAACTAAGAACGCACTTCCAACTTACGGGTTTATTATTTATCTGTGTAACTTCGATTCGGGAGATTTAAGCCTAGTGTCTATTGAGACCACACATGTAAGATCGATGGCATTAGCTGTTAACAGGACTATAGCACAAAATCTCTTAGTAGTAGTTTGCGTGCTATCCGACAATGGCATCCTTATTTAAGTTTATCATTCTATGTTCGTCGGCGATACTACTTTTAAAAAATATAAGAAAATTACTGCTGTCGTAAGAAAATTACTGGCCGTGCGAGCAAAACAATGAGGAATATTCCAAACGTTAGGTGTATGCGACACTGGAAATAAGACTGGGCAATTGACTGAACATTAACTTCGAGGATATCGTTACCTTTCTGGAAAAAGACAACCAAAAATACAAACTCTGAGAAAGAATAAATGAAGTTATCGCGCACATATTATGCGATAATCGACTTGCTACCACAAATACTGTTTAACCTCTAGCAAATGTATTATCTTTCAGTTTACCTACTGTGTCGAGAGAAGTTCCTACTTTAGGCTTATAACTGAAACCCTTTTTACTGTTGACGGGTTCGTAAAACACCTATTTCGGCTATTGTGCAATTCAGACATAGCCATTATTACTGAGTAAAAAGTTTCGTAAACAACATGATTAACGCTATCCTTTCGGAAAAACAGAGCTAAATTTGAATCCGACAGTTGCGTCTCCTATTAATATGGTCAACTTCACAGACATTACGGATTTGTTAATAAAGTGGACACATAACCAAACTTCGTCACGGTAATCATGTATGCAACAACATTTTTTGCAAAACATTCTAAGTGTTGTGCAGCTGATCCTCGCCTTTTTTCAGCACTGCATTCGGGGATTCATTTATTTGTGGGTTTCATTATTTGCGGAGCATACTTAAAAGTATTCATTAGATATTTTCACTTGTTTTAGCGATTAAAAGCATTTTTCATAAACAAAGTTTGTTTATAAATGTTCAGCCATTAATATCAGTAAAAATGGTCAACTTACGGTCATAACCAGAAACCAAATTTGACAAGATGGGTTTTTGTTCGAATCTTTAATACACGACTTAAGCGCGTTGTTCATCAGCTCAAAAACGCGACCTGGAAGCTGTTTCGAATGAACAAATAATAAGTTGTAAATTGGGTGAAATAAACAGCATCAAAGCGGGTAAGAGATAAACGAAGTTATTTCGTACATTAAAAGAATCTTAAAAATCACGAAAAACTTTAGGGACTCTTCCTTGTTTCTCTAGTAGTTTAAACAACCCCTTTTTACCTAACTGGCCAATCGATTAAAAAATTGCAATCGAAGAGGCATATTTTAAGTGCACTTACGTAGTCAGGGCTTCCAAATACGTAGCCGGTAAATGAAATTTGCATAACAAGGATGACCCCGAGCAGAACGGCGTACTAAAAAGAAAAAAGTAGCATTGATAAATTAAAAGCCCAAGGAACCTCTCGCCTCCCTTCGAGATATTTATGTGACACACTGGGACACTGCTCACAAGTTTTAACAATATACCGCATGGACAACAGGAGGCGATCCAACCGAAGAGGCAGAAAAGCAGGCAGACGACGCCCACCGAAACGATAATGGTGCCGACAGAGCCTAGAAAGAGAGATTAAACTTTGGTTACCTTTTGCATCTGAATAAATGAAGAAAACATTTTAATTTGTCACTGCAGTCGACTTACCGAGGGAGTTGTTCACAAACACTGTCAACGCTTCCTTTTGAGTATCGTCTATAGATTCACCGGGAAAGATTTTCTCTACAATGCTCTTTGTCAGTTTTCCAGATTTGAGTAGTGCTCCAACAACAGCAAGGATACCAAAGACAATCTGAAATGGAGAATTTGTAGAATAATACCCAGGCACACACATGCGTGTAAACGGGCTTTAATCGAATTTTATGGGGGACAAATGAAACAAACACAGCCGTGGTCATTTCTGACTTGTGGATATTAGTAAATGCCCACAAACCTCCCCGCTCAGTTTTAGCTTACTTTCGCTTTCTGCTCACAATGCGTAAAACAGCATAAGTTGCCATTTAATCACGTTCCTTTTTTCAGTTGAGATCGAAGATACTCAGCTCAGTCTCCATTGTTGTTTTTCATTAAATACACAACTGAGCAAGCACGCTCTGTACTCCAATTGGATCGAATAACGATCTAATCATACTAATTACATGAATAATTTCAAGATCGAGAACCTCGGGTAACGACTGTTTTTTATAAGCGAGGCAGCATGCTAAACAGTAAGCTGAAAAAATATGAAAAAAACGGAAATTCTCTGGATTTATGCCGAAAGTCTTATTCTACGCTTCTGTACGACAATGGTAATGAGAGAAGTAATTAAACAATAAACAATGAGTAACTTCAGAAAATAATGACTTCTGAATTAACGCGTGAGGTCGTGGGAAGTAGTCGTTGCTGGCGTTGTAATTTCTGCAACAGCCTGAAAATGCATGCCAAGATAAAACCCCTTATGGTACGATCCACAGTCTACTGACAGCTAAGTGGGATCCTTCTCTATACCGTTTCCCAAACACATTCTGTATAAAAATGTTTAGGCGTGACTTTTGCCACCCATACGGATCTTGCTTGCCTTGGGAAGGCAATGGATCAGTGTGCCCATTCCTGAATGAATAAATACCCGATCTGCCGTTGCACCTTCATCTTACAGAAAACAAACCAGATGATAAGATTAGTGGTGACGGCGATGTTTGTCTATCACAACTCCTCTGCGATCATATCTTGATCTAATTTTACCTGTTTTGTTGTTGCCTGTCCAAGACCACTGTCACACTCTCGTACCCTGTTTGCTTCGGAAAACGTTCACTGAGCGATCTACTTAACGCACAACATATTGTCCAGCCCTCTGTCCCCGACGCAGTAGTAGCGTTTAGCGGCTATGTCCGACGGGAGCGTCTTGGATGCTTAATCTCGTTCATCCCCGAGAACGACCCGGGATTTCTGACAGGCCCGCTGGCTGAGGTACGTGGTTCGTGAACGAACTAGACAGCGTGGACAACCCGAATAATCTAGGCCGTTTAATCTGGACGGAGCCCTGAGCCAGCTCCAACTCAAAGATTCCCTCTCAAGTTGCGTAGCCATCTGCACAGCCACAGCGGTAGCAGTTTTTATTCTAAGAGTGCAGAAACTGGTAAATCAGAGTTGCAGTCCAGTAGCCACATATGCCTCGCATGAAATAGAGTCAATAGCAACATGTCATCAGGAGAGAACAGGAGTTGGAAAGCTACAGTTGTTCCGAATACCACTTAGAACGTTCACTGGCGTACAAACAACAACAGGCACACTGTCGATGCATGCTGTAATTTGGACAAACGTAAAGGCAAGCATTTTATTGGTCGAGGATTTAGACAGATCGCTCCGAGTGGCAGAGTCCATGCACTTAGGTGATCCACTAGGGCTTGAAGCAAGACCGCATTTGCCACAGCACCTGACGATTGTCTGAACTTTGAGAAAATGTAGACGCGATCGCTGGAACAGGCACTTTACCACAAAATGTAGCCCCCGTTAAAAAGGGCACACAGGTAAGCCGACGTATTGTTAGTGGTATGTACTGCAAGGCACAAGACATGACTTACGACCAACAGGAGGTGCAGAACTGTAAGAGCCACCTTCAGGAGCTGTGCAACAACGCAGCACATTTTCCAATCGAATTGTCTAGTAAAAAGGGGGGATGAAGAAAATGATTTAGAAATGGGGTTGCAGGCATCTAGGCAGTCGTGTACGATTCTAATGCGGGCTAGAATGTTAATCGCATATGCATTATCTTGTGGCTTGTAATGCATGCATAATGATTTTCTGGATGAAAGAGTTTAGGCGCAATTATCGCCCTAAATAGGTGCTTTATTACCAAATGATCATTCGAAACTATCGTGTACCAAGTCGTGTGCCAGCGGAGAAGCAAAAAACGGAGATCAACTGATCGTGAATAAAGGGGGTAGAGAAGTAGAGGGTCGCTCACCGGTAGTTTCTCCAGAAACCGCTGGTTCCGTTGTACCTTACGGGCTCCCTCTTCAGCACAACCAGTGGCCGCACAGCGATGCATGATAAAGGCAGAATGTTATTACTTTCAAAGACGACAGAGGATGGAATGGACATTTCTGGCTTATTAACTGTGGTCAGCCAGTCATACCCGACCCCAAAGTGTGGAACACCTGAGCCTCGATCTAGCGACCAGCTAGATAGAAGTCAAACGCCTCTAGCCGCTGAGCCACTGGCTCGTTGTCCTGTCGGTTGCAGTAAAGATTGAACAATGGTAGGGGCGATCACCGATTTGGCCAGTTGCTAGATTGTCGGGCACTCCATCAGGATGAAATGCCATGGAATATCCTCATGGATACCGTATCTGAATACAATCATCATTTCTCTTGGAAGCATTGTCTTTGTCCCGACCGTCCTTTGTGTTGTCCTGCATGTGTTTATCCTGGCTCACAGCTTACTGTCCTGTGCGCCGCCCCAGCAGCAAACCTCCCCTCCCACTGCCATCATTCGCGCATGACATGATCCATAGACCATGGACGAGTAATTGTGGTTTTTCACCCCACCGTTGGCGTGTGTTCCCACACCCGGTAAATCTGCGTCACTTCCCATTCCCCTCCCTTCACTTTAAAAACTCCTACGTAAACGGCGAGACTCAATTCCGTAAGAGATGCAGGCCAACTCGGTTCGTTCTCCACTAAACAAAACGTGACCCATAACGGAGCACAAAGACCGTCTAGGATATCTTAGCAGTCCTGCCTACCCCCTGGTGGGGAAGGGACCAAAAGAGGTGGCTTAAACAAATGTCAGAGAATCGCGCGGAGCTATTCACATGAATAATAAATACGGCGGGAGTACTGAAATGGGTGAGATTAGTGGACGAAGTGATGATCATTCCTCAGTGCACCGATCAACAAGACAAAACAGGGTGCCACAAGATAAGGTGGTGAATTGTATATAGTGCGTTGGGTTGCTATCTCTCTATCTCTCAGAAAAGCATTGATATTTAGGCCTGAAAGCGAAGGAGGCGGTGTGTGCAGTCCGTGGTGACGGCAGTTTTTTTATGGTTTTTGGGAGCAAGTTCAAGTGTCTCGCGCCCAAGTCAGTGTAGAAACGGCTGTGCCTCTCCGAATGCTCCTGAGTTGCGGTTGGTCAGACTGCAAGGTTGTCGCTTCAGGGAGCGATCCTTGGGGAAGCGAATGACCTTGAGACAGCGGGGTTCCCGACAGCGGATTTTTCACTCAACCTGTGGCACTGATTTCTCCAAATACTCAGCTTACTGACACTTAAAACCATGCGTTGTAAAATAGGCTGTCTAACCCCCTGAAATATATTAGTTGTTTGATCAACGCAGGAGAAACCGCTCTGAAAGATCATACATGTTGATGCTAAACGTCGCTTGTAAGAACAGCAATCATCCGCACGAGCTAGTCCGACTCCGGGAAATGCCTCATCACGGTACACACAGGTTGGAGGAGATATACGAACAGTGCAAAAAATGCTCCAGCCGACTTGTGCAGAGGTGTAGTTGTGGCGATAGGCGAAGGGTGTGCCTGTGTGACTCCGTCAAAGGGTGCTTATGCGTTGGCACGCTAGTGTGAGAGGCATGGGTGTTTCCGACGCAAAGCATCTATAAATATTTATCGCTGGGATAATCTACTGATAAAAGCATAAATGCAAGCACACCTGCATTTTGGCTTCAGTGTTACAAAGAAGATAACCGCGCGATCACTGGGGACAGTAGAGTTGGTGGGCTAAATCATTAAATGTCTACCAAAATGTGTTTTTGCTTCGAAAAGATTAACTAAATATGATTGTAAAACCAATCATCATACAGCATAATTCTATAATAATTCAGTTGCCTCAGGATGCCGACTTTCGAAGGAACTTCTTTACGACTGCATGCAAAAACTATACTCTGTTTAACAAGACTACATATGCAGCATTCATTTTTCGCGTTGATTTTCGATGTCTTTGGAAATTCAACTGTATTTTATGAATGAATGAGAATGTTCATTCCTTCGCTTATAGGGCAGGAAATTGCGTCTTGTTCCAATGTTTTATTCGAAGGAAGGTTATAAGTCAATTTTAAAAGGTTTCGTATTGTGAGATTTTTAATACCGTTAAAGGGCCGTTCATAAAACGTCATAACTTTACATTTACCAATGTGGTTTGTAAAGTTAACAATATGGCTCCAATCCACCAAAACATTCTATGAAACTCGTATGGTTTCCTCTTAATGCCGTAGAGAAATGCGTGGTTTTCGTACGCGGAAAATATACGGCCTGTAGTTTAGAAACCCTGAATGCAAGTGTAATGCCAGGTTGAGCTCAAAACTATTCAGGAACTGGAAAAGTTGTTAAAAACCAAATTATACCCTTTTCGACTTTAAAATTGAAAGAAACGTAGTTATCTTCCGAGCTAGCAAAAGAAGGAATATTTTCATGCATTTTTACCATGAAATATAATTCGGTTTTTTGAAACATCATTGTAAAATGCATACTACTTAAGCAGTCATTGTGCAGGATGTACTTTTTGCATGTAGCCGAAAAGATGTTCATTCGAATGTCGGCAACCTGAGGTAGCTGAATTATTATGAAATTACTTTTTAGGATGATAACTTTGACAACCCTACGTAATCAAACTTTTTTAAAACGAAAAGACATTAAGGAATTTCGGCTGACATTTCGTGAGTAAGTCAACCTACTGCGCGTAACAATCACCTCTGAAAACATATCACCTGCACTATAAAAACAGCACATTACGACCAGTTGAAGCACATACTGACATTCCAAAATTACTGCCGACAGGAAAAATGGAGTCTAAATATCAGTTCCCGGTTTGTGAGCCGGGACCTCAATGCGCGGATCTGCCAGAAATCTCAGGTTCGATCAGGACTGGTCGGTAGATAACACACTCACGTTAAAGTGGATACTGCCAAGTTAGGAAATCGTAATCACCTTAACTGTCATCTTCGAAAGAAACTACTGAATGGCTACTACCTGACAGTTCGACCAACCTGTCCGAAATATCCACCCTGTGCTCCACACTAAGGTGAAGCAGACATGATAACTTGCGCATGAATCAGTCTCTGGTAAGAGTAGACTTGCGCGGAATCTGCCGCACTCTCTCCTCTCCACCTGAAGCCGCTGTCAGTGCAGGCCCAAGAGGACCGGGAGTGAGGGAAGGCGCAGGTGATTGGCACGGCCGGACCTTCACCTTGGCGTGCCAGTCCATATCCCCCGGTCCACAACAAACACTTGACCAAAAACAGCGCCACAACGAGTCAGAAAGACGACGGCGATGACTGGGCAGCCATGCTCACGACCTGTACACCCAGCGGGAGCGCGAGCGTAGGTAATCGGGTGTCACAGAACTATCAGCGATCAACAGACTGCGACGGCCATGGTTTACTGAATCGTGACACAACAGACCTTGATGCCCAGAAGGGTGACACGCAGCCCTGCATCTTCCTGGGCCATCAACCTTCAAAGGCACTGTAACCAGTCAGTCCACGACTAAGAGCCACTACTCATTGAATGCACACACACACACTCCTCACATATGTGAGAGATTTACTGTCCACTAATAGGTACATGTGTCTACAAAATAATCAGACATAGGATTGTATTTACAGACTAAAAGGCATGCAACATCGTCTGTGTTTAGTGCTTAGGCTTTTAACATACTCTGTTTGTTGACCAAATTAAAAATGTGCTAAATTCCTCATCCAAGTCTAACTTTGGAGTGCGGGAAACATGTTATTGAGGACGGCAAACATTGAGCATAAGCGAATGTAAAATACATTTCCGTCGGCCGAGTGCCTACTAAAAAGACCAGTTTGGAAAAAAAAATAAATTATGAACCGTCGTCCGTATGCTCCCACTAAACAGGTATCACAGTGAGCAACCAAAACCAGTGAATTTTAACAAGTAAGCTCGATCCTTTCTGGGGATGAGTGTGGTTTTAATAAGTCGCACTGCACCCTTCTTTCTGTCGTATCTACCAGGGAGACGAGGTCAGCCCAGAACGACAAAGTCTGTCTGGTGTATACGGCTAAGCACTGCTAGGTTGGCAGTAAACATCTATAGATGAGTCAGAAATTATGCAAGTAATCCCGCCTCTATCGCGATACTAACCTCATTGAAATTTTTCCCAAAATAAGTAATTTGACTACAGACACATGTTCTACATGCCAACTTGGACGCTTTGTTAAACTGAAGGGTTAACAAACGGTTTGAAAATAAGTATCGCCATGAGGGCACAATGCAATTCGTTCCAAAACTGCAAACGGGACTCACCAGTAGTCTACGTGAGTTATTTGTGGAGTGAGTGAGACCTGTCTCAGAAAGGCCCTTTATACTGAGCGTGCAAGTGGGCAGGATCTCAAATGTAATTGCATGATCCAAAAATATCGCAGACGGGTGTGCCACCTGGTCCATCTTGTCGTCTTCTCAAGCAACTGATTGTTTGGAGGGCTTTTCAGGCGTGTGTTTCAGCGCTGCAGGTAGCATAAAGTCCATTGCCCGATCGCACAGTCGATAAATCTTGACAGCGAGAGCACACGTCATCGCACGTATTGAAAAATGCGGTAACGCAGATGGTAACTTCATTTTCATTGGTCAATTTAGAGGAGAACAGCAGCACGAGGTCGAACGCTCGACTATGTAGTGCAGGTGGGCTAGCTCATGAAATGTCAACCGGAATTCTGAAATGCGTTTTCGTTTCGAAAAGGATAAATTAGATAGGGTTGCAAAGCTTGTCGTCATGAAGCACAATTCTATAATTATTCAGTTACCTCAGGATGCCGGCCTTCGGATAAACTTCTTTGCGGCTACATGCAGAAAACATATTCTTTAATAAAGGACTACTGAAATAGCATGCATTTTTCCTTCTGATTTTCAGCGCTCTTAAACATTCAATTATATTTCATGGGCAGCATGCATAAAAATGTTCATTCTTCTGTTCTTTCGGTAGAAAATTACGTCTTCTACAAATGCGGTACTCAAAGAAAGTGTACATTTCGGTTTTAAAAAAGTTGCTGATTGTGACATCATTTAATACCGTGAAATGGCCGTTCATATAACGTCATGGCTTGTAAGGTTACACAATATGGTAAAAGTCCCCTGTTAAATTTTATGAGCACCAAGATGTTTTCCTCTTTTTATCGTAGAAAAATATACGGTTTTCCGTAGGCAGAAGATATACGGATTGTAGTTTGGAAACCTTGAATGCAAATATAACGACAGGTCGGTTTCAAAATTATTCGGGAATCAAAAATGTCTATAAAAACCAAAATGTACACATTTTTTGAGCACCGCATTTAAAGAAGACGTAATTTTCTACCGAATGAGCCGAAGTAGGAATATTCGTATTAGTTTTTTCCATGAAAATATGATTCGATTTTTAAGGGCATCGAAAATCAATAGGAGAAATTCATACCATTTAAGTATTTTTTTACATAGTATTTTTTGTATACAGCCGAAAAGGAGTTATTTCAAAAGCTGGCATCCTGAGGTTATTAATTTATTACTAAATTAGGCTGCCTGGTTATCAGTTTTACAAGCCTACTTATTTAATCTTTTCGAAAGTAAAACGCATTTCGGAATTTCGATTAACATCTCACGAGTTAGCCCGCTTACTGTAAATCAGCGATAAAAAATCATTGATGCCCTTCTAATATCCATACAAGTTATAAAATGACCGCTTTTATTCTAAATTTTATTTAACTTTGACTTAGACAACAATAATATCAGTTTGTCACCTTCTTGCGATAATGCCATAAACAATTTGCTAGTTTATTTCACGAAAAAGCCTAATCGTTTTATAAGACAGTTCGTAAAAGTGACGTGATTTTTGCACGAACTTCTTAATCAGCAGTAGGAAAATGTTGTGAATATGTTGTACACGATTGGCAACATGATTCGAATCTCGATTTGTTAAATTTTCAGAAAAATAAAAACGTTATCCGGTAGGCTACATGGGTGTGGTGGTGATATTGGATTGTGTCTCGGTTACTATCTCCATAATTAAGGTCAGCTACTCACGGATTGCTTGCCATTTTCAGTCGGGTTATAACCAATCCAAAAACATCGGAAGATTATTTCACGAAAAGGCCGAATCGTTTTTAAGACAGGTTGTTGAAATGGCGCGATTTTAGCACAACCTTCTTAATCAACAGTAGAAATATGTTGGGAATATTTTGCAACAATTGGCAACATGATTCGAAACCACAATTTTTAAATTTTCAGAAAAACAAAAAGGTAATGAAGTAGACCACATGGGTGTTGCTATCTCCAAAATTGGCGTCGACTACCATGGTGGTGGAGTAATTACTCACTGGATGCTTGATATAACCAATCCAAGTGCAGAAACACCAGCATCCTGGTGTCCACTGAGCCAAGCAGTCTGTTGGTCAAGCTGTCGAACTATATCTTACTTACTGCGATCGGGAGATACTAAATTCTATGGGCTTAGTTTTTGCCGATCCGCTCCATCTGCATGATAGAATACGGAGACTGGGCTTGCCCTTAAGCTTTGTCATACACCCATATTCGTCTCTTACACGGTCCTGTAATTCGAATAGCCCAGTGAATATCCACACATATGACCTTGAGATCGCCAACTGAATTCAGGTAGGCAGAAGTCTGATATACAGCGTTTAGCAGAGACTGCGGTCAAAACTTAGGAGCAATTGCTGTCAAATTAGTAAACTACTGGCCGGCAGCGAAAATAAAACCAAAAAATAAGCGATGCAGGCTGCTCATATTTTTCGTTATATGCACGTGGGTTTTCTTGAAATGCACTGCAATTTACCTTTAAAGGCAGCATGTAGAGTGATTTGTATGACGCACAAAGTAGTAATCTGATTGTATTTTCCAACCACGTAAAGGCGGAAGATATCAGGTCGCTAGGCAAACTGGTAACTCCGCGTGATCTCAAAAAGGCATAGCCATATGCGTTTGAGGCCAAAGCTTCGCCTATTTAACGCTGTGGTGACCCCCACAAGGCCTTCGGGGTGTTAAGTTACCCATGCTACCTGCCGTTCGCCCAACACGCCTGCCAATGACTTACTGTGCGTGCGTGACTTCAAACTCAGCTCGCCGACGACGACGACGACGACGACGACGACGACGACGACGACGACGACGACGACGACATAACGCAGACCTACAGTACGCGACCTATTTCATGACATCTACTAACGGAAACTGATTCGAGAATTTCTGGCCATCTTTAACGTTGCGCATTTTGTTCGCTCATCCACATCCTTCAATCTCGGTCGCACAGCGAGACGCCTGGTAAAGAGGGTGCGTGAACATATGCTCGCTTGTTTAGAAAAAGGTGAGACTCGATCGATTTCAAGTTCTATTCTCTCTCATTTAATCGACACGAATCACCAAGTCGATACCAGCGAAACATTTCAGGTTGTCCATCGGCCACCTACAAGCTTCTATAAAGGCCTACGTCAACAGATACTAGCAACGGCCGAGGTAGTGGCTATACGGCTAGCGAATCTGATGTTGTGCTGTCAGAAGGCTCTGACACAAGCGCTCTCTCTGCCATGGCCCACGACAACCTCAAGCGATCACGACATGCCGCGTCAAGTCCCTAAATACACTGATGGGCACTCCATGTACTAAATCCAAGAACATCACTCAAAGACTCTCTCACCACCCTTCCCTAGCTCTAAGGACCAAAACCCGCCGACATCGACATGCGGGCGGCGTGAGGAAGATGAGTGTTAATTTATTAATGGTCTAACTACGCATCTGAGCGACTTTTTTATTGGAAGGATATGAATTTTCCCGTGAGAGTTTTAATAAACACATTTAGACGAACCTGAAAATTTATTTTATGTCCGATGTTAGCCATGGTGATTAACCTGCTAACAAAAGGTACTTTAAAGAAAATCTGAGATTTTATCATTTTCTAAACGTCAAGTTAGCAGATCTGTGCGAGTTGGTGCCCTAAAGTGCAGTAATAACGCAGATATGGATTCCTTTGTTTAAATGGGCTAAAATAGTTTTGCCCTTTTGGAAAATGCTACCTGATGTCACATAAATGACCACCACGGAATGGGCATTTCCAGCTCTAAACATATGAAGCAGTACTTGTCGTGTAGTTTAGCATCTGTGCATACCTTATTCAGAAATAGAACGAGCAAAACATTAATAGTTTCAGCAAAATATCAGTATTTAAATAGGCAGTCTGCTGTGCATTCATAATCGATGAAGGGAGTAAAAATTCAAGCAAAAACATTGGAAATGGCCTCAATGTATAAACAAACGCATGTTCTTACGTTTACTTTAGAAAATTATTGGTATTCATTAGGAACGTGAAAGAAACGACCAAAAGTGTCAAATGTCTACTTAGCCTCACCATGCACAAATGCAAATTACACAGAGATCTGTAAACGAAGTGCGACAATAAAGCACTTCTTAAACAGGTAACATATAAAAAAACTGTCCTTATTGATCGTAGACATATTCATTGCTGACATCAGTCGAGACAACCATTTTTCTTAAAAAATGTTGATTGATGTTTGAATGAGTCTTCACATGTGACCAATTCGACCACCTTCGTGAAAAGGAGCATCTGAAAACTCACTAGGTCGGTAAATGTCTTCAAGAATAATTTTATTTTAAAGTTATTAACAGACAGGTCACTCAAAATCTGTCTTTATAGACGATCGGGTGGAAACACTGAAAATCATGAAGTTTTCAGTAATATTTCAAGGACGATCTGAAACTCAACGTAATCCAAAACGAACGAAAAGTGTAAATTAATTTAACGGAAGAAACCTTCTCTCTATAAACAGAAAATGGTATTTTTACGATCACGCCTACCAGTTTTATTTAAATTTTGTTAAATACCCACCGGCCTCACAGCACGTCACCTTATGAAGACTTCTGTTCCTACGACCTTCCCATCGGTCAAATCGGGCAAAATCCAGGTTCTCTTGTTGAATACCACCTCATTTAACTCAAAAGAGTCAAGGATAACGCGAAACACTATAAAACTCTTAGCGAATCTCGATTCAGCTTGTAGGCAGTTGAAAAACCGTTATATATGAAATCACATTAATTATTAGACGATATTTAGATGTAAACTTCATTGAAACTATTAATAGACGTTATTTTATTTCTACGTCCATATTTACTACGTTCTTGGTATGCGAATACATTCTATACATCTAAAAACGAAGTTTACTAAATTAAAGCCATTTTTGACGTTTTCGGGATAGACATCGGCATTTCTAGACAACGCAACACTGACTGTAATATTTCTTTTATGTTTTTAATTCTTTGAAACGTATACCTTATTAACATGCACATTGGACTCATGCAGTTGTGTCTGTTTGCGAGTGACTAGCAACATTCCTAAATTTTGAAACATCTCTTGAGTTAAGTCACTAACTGTATACCTTTTTCTTCACCGATTCGCCGTAGCCATGCAAAGTTCGGACGTATATGCTGTGCATATATGCCACTATGGATGAAGTAAGGTGTCATCAACATTATATCTTCCTCGTATCAACTTCGAACTTCGGTCGGCAATGAAGCCACCCACTGAAGTCTATTTATGGCACATGTTCGTCTGAGATATTTTGGGTCGAACAGGTCCATGCCTCTTACACTAGCGTGCCAAGTCACAAGCACACGTTGCCGGAAGCAAATGGGCGTTCACTTCCTTTAATAAAGACTGCTTCGCCAAGGTCTTTCGAACTGTTTTGCGATTCCATCTGGAGTTTTCTATCCATGCACGGAGACCTTGGACCGAAAAGGCCTCGGCATACTCGAAAAAATTCAACGGCGAACACCGAAACATGTATCTGGGCAGCGGTCACCACCCTACAAAACACGATTGGCTAATCTTGACCTCTTTCCTTTGAGTTACAGACAGCTACGTGGAGACCTGACACAAACTGCCCGCATCGTGCGCAATCAGGGCTGCTGCCTTGCATCAGGATTCTTCTTCGAGTTGCCAACTAAGACTAACCTGAGCGGCGATCCACTCAAACTACGTGCGAGACACACGAAAGTTCTTCTTCTCCAACAGAGTGGTTGCAGCTCGGTATGTTTTGCCTGCGGATTTTGTCATGCCGGGATCCGTAGAGACTTTTAGACGGAAGCTAGATCAACATTGGAGCGCGCACCACAATAACGCCGGATTACATTCATCTTGATAGCCAACTTTGACACTTTATGGTTGCACATTCAAGTAACATGTGTTTATGTAATTTAGCAATTTTGGACCACGTCGCACACCGCTGCTCGCATTCATCATAATGTCTGCAGACTAAACATATTTTACTTCTTTTCCTGTATCTTAGGTGGGCTTCAACTGTCTGATGTGTTTAATAAACAAACGGCGTTTGTATGCCTTTAAATGTTGTTAACGTTTCTGATATTTCTCTTGTATTTCTTTTATGTTACTGCATTTCCATTTTTCCCATTTACTTCCTCTGCATATAACCAATAGGGACTTCACAAGTGCATACCTATTTTACTTTGATTACACGGTTATTGATACATTTATCTTGTTACTCGGATCCCTGAGAAAAAGAGTAAGTTGTTATTCATTGTAGTATTTCGACCGCGAGTTTTGCATCTACGAACAATGGTTTACTAGGAGATGGCATGATTCTTCGGCATTTGTTTTATCCACCTCTTCTGGTCCCCTTCCTCACCAGAAGGGTAGGCAGTGCTATCACGACATAGGGCTGCTAAGACACCCTAGACGGTCTTCGAGCTCCGTTATGGGTCACGGTTTTGTTTGGTGGAGAGAGACTCGAGTTGGCCTGGATCTCTTACGGAACTGTGTGTTACCGTTTCCATAGGACTTTTTGAAGTAGAGGCAGGAGGGGGGGGGGGAATTGAAGCAGAATTGCCGGGTGTTGGGACACACGCCAGGAATGACAAGGGGCCCGTGACCCAGTGTGTGGAGACATTGTGTTTCGTCTTGTTAATAGACTCACTGAGGAAATGTAATCACTTCGTCCACTAACCTTACTCACGTTCACACCTGTGCCAACCAGAGGTGAAACATGCGTGGGTACACTGCGGTCGTTGTAAACCTCGCGACGCAACTAAGCGGAAGTAAGAAAGACTTTACTAAAGGTTAAACCCACTGCATAATCTTCATTCATCGCTTACTGTTGCTTATTATTTCAGCCGTCACAGCTAACCTATTACTGCGCTTCCAATCGGCCTCGTTGGATGCCTTCACATCCAGACCACATTTTCCTCTTGAAGAAGAAGATAGGCTCACTGGAACGGACTTATTTAGCTGATGACGTTTCAAAGAGCATGATCGGCTCTGCACTGACAAAACGTAAAATGTACTTAATTGACCAGAAATCCCAAATGTCATGTCACGTTGGTCGACCTCGTGCTGATCGATTTTTCTCTCCTCTCGCTGCCTGGGGCTCTCGGGGTCATCAACACGCTACCCTCATTATCGACTTTTTCACCAAAAAACATCCAATAGATTAGTTCGTAAATCCAACAGAAGCTTATTGACCGGGACAAATGTGTCACTGAGGTAACGACGCACAAACAAAGAACCCTTTGTAGTATTCGAAATTCAGAAGACAAGGTGGCGAGCGCCCGTTTTCTTTCGATAAATTTCCCTCAGACCAATACAATTATGTGGGGACGGGGTAGAAACAATAACATGTCAATAATGAGAGAAATTGAGTAAAGTCCGTCCTAAAACACGGGCGGGGTGTGGAAATGTGGGGGGTGGTGGGAGGTAATAGCAGTCAGTGTCAGGGGCGGGGTGAGAGCGGAAGTGCGCGGGGAGAGCTGCACTGTTAGTCGACCTTCGATCGCTGTAGGTTCGGAGTCTGAACGTGGTTCTTCTGTGCCCACAAGATTGGCATTCGTAACCTGATGGCGGTCACTTTAGCTGTTTCCAACAGGCGCTGTCCCAGTAGCTTAGGATAGCTCGAGGGAACTTTAGAAATCACACGAAAAGCTTCGCTGTGGTCCACACAATGTCCGGAATCTACAAGATGCGCATCCAAAAAATCCAGTCTCCTGTGCCCTGCCAGGAATCCCGGAAGTAAATGCCGGCACTAAAATTGGCTTGATATTTTGAAAGTCCACTTTCTGTCAAAAGGGTCTGAGCTTGATACGCGATCTTGAATGAAAGCCCTCTTTGCAAGACACATCCGGCCCGCCAACTCTGTAGAGGAGTCTTGCCCAAAACAAGAACTGGTAGTCATTTTTTTCTCCCAGACGTGGATATTACTATTTGTCGACAGTCGTCTGCTTTTCCGAAATGAAAAAAAGTGTTTAGATTTATGTCGAAGTCGATGGTCCCATTTAGAAGGAAATTTGTAATGGCCAAAGCCGGAGGCAAACTAAAAGCTCCGATGTGCTTCGCTTTGTTAGTGGTGTCGACCTCAAATCCTCGGCTAATCATCTGCGGTCTTAAACTCAAAAAACAAGAGTTACTGTCGCCCACTTAAGTAGACATTTAAGAAGACAAACGTAAATGCAATCGCTACATGCTTCCTGCAGGTTTTGATGAGGCTACGGGCCGCCAGTCCTGTTAACAGATTTTTCCTGTTATGATGGAAGGTGCTCAGTTCTCTTGCTACAAAATATGCTCCTACCGTTGTGTCTCGGGACCTCTTCTATACAAGATTGCTGAATTACGATATCTTCGACGGGTACTGAGAGCCAATGGCTACCCGTGCAACTTTGTCAACCGCTGCATATGAAAAAGGCACCAGAGACGAAATTCAACCGGCCTCAAATTTTGGCAAGCGCTTCCGTACGTAAAGAACGTCTCCGAGGACGCCTTCTGACTCCTCGTGGATTTGGATTTGCCCACAGGCCGGAAGCAACCATCAGGCGCCAAGTCATGAGGCCGAGAGACCCACTGCCTCTGCCCGAAACGTCAGGAGTCGTTTACCGGATAGGGTGCAGTTGCAAAAAAAGCAGCTACGTTGGAGAAAATGGGAAATAACTCCGGACGTAGATGGCTGAGCACGCAGCAGCGGCAAGGAGAACAGACGCTATCTATTAGGTGGCGGCTCATTCGACGGGACGCAGTCATTTTTTCAAGTTCCAAGGGGTAGAATTCTCTCAAAAGCTCACATCCGCGTGAGCCGCAAGCTGCCCGGGTTCTTGCGCCAGAAATCCATCAACGAGCGCAAGGACCTCCCGGCACCATGTTCGGTGCTGAGACATTTCCTGGGCAGGGGAATCAGCCACGTGGGGAAGACGCGGGCGGGCAACAATCCCGGTGACAGCGGACCGAATTTCCGAGTATTCATCACGTCAAAATCCAACACGGATGATGAAATCGCGGCGATTAATTACACGGACGCGGATCCACGAGCCATCACCGCCTCATTTACGACCTCTCAACGGTGATCGCGGGACCTGTTAATTACAGTACTCATGTCGTCCCTCGGCAGCTACGTGTTATATTTACTGCACTCATTGTGTCACCATTACCCTTATTTGCGACTGTCTCTGATGATGGGTTTGAGTGATAATCCGAAACGCTAGGCCAATAAATTTCTTGTTCCAACGATTGCATCCTCTTTTCTTCTGACGTTGCTTCACAGTCATTTGATGTTACCACCTTTACAAATTTTTGACACACTTCCACTGCATGTAATATAAAAGGTGTTCAATGTTGCACACGCACATTTCTCTCAGATAGAAAAAAATGACCTGAATATTGTTGTAACATTTCAGCACATAACCGACGCAAGCTGCCATATTGTTTCGGCGGTTTCGAAGCATTGGAGGAAGAGGTGCGTGGAGGTCTGTCTGTTAACCGCGAGGTCGGCTTCAAAAGCGGAAAAGAAAATAAAAAATATATGAGGGAACGCCAGCGTTTATAGACAAGTGAAATTTAACAAGTAAATTTTGTGAAATGGCATACTGCTGCCCATTTTATATTGGTTCACCATATGCTTTCTTTATTAAGCAATCGATTTGACTGTGGTTTAATATTAAGTTAGTCGCGAAAATTCCCAGTAAAGAATTCAAAAGACAGTTTGGCGAGCATATATAATCTTTCGATAAATAATCATCAACTCATGAAATGTGTCGAAATTTATGAATGAGTGCCAATCACTCGCAAACCGCCAGCAATTCATGAGGGTAACGTCTATGTTAATTAAATATACGTTTCAAAGAATTAAAAAAATTTAAAAAATATAAAAGTCAGCGTTGCATTGTTAAGAAATTCCGATTTATTTTGAAAAGCGCAATACCCCGAAAACGATAGAAATGGCTCTAGTTTAGTAAACTTCCTTTTAAGATTTAAAGAATAGATTCCCATAAGAAGAACGTAAAAATAAAATAATGTCCAGTAATAGTGTTTTAGTAAAGTTGACATCTAAATAGCGTTTAAAAAGTATTGTTATGTCATATATGACGGTTTATTAACTGCCTACATGCAGAGTGTAGACTCCAAAGCAGTTTTCGAAAATATAAATTAAGTAGTGTTGTTAAACTAATCATGATGCAGCATTAATTTATAATGATCCAGTTACCTCAGGGTTTTTGCTTTCGAAAGAAGTTATTTTCGTCTGCATGCAAAATCTGTACTTTACAAAAATGACCACTTATGTAGCATGCAACTGTCTCATTGATTTTCTATGACCTTGAAAATTTAATTATATTTTATGAAACACATGCATACAAATATTCATTCTTTTACTTATTCGGTAGAAAATCACGTCTTCTTCCAATTCCACATTTAAAAGAAGAGGATAATTTTGTAATTCAATCGAGTCGAAAATAACAATTATCACTGTAAAACTGCATTGGAGTCTACAATCTGCATGAAGCAAGCAAGCAAAAGATAAATCCGGATTGTTCCCCTTTCTGGATGTAATTTTAAGTAGAAGGCCGGTGATAAAAGTCTAGATGGCCGGTAGAAGGCCGGAGTAGAAGACGGCGGTATTCGATGCAGCGTGGTCCGAGCAATACACCAGTCCTTTGCAATAATATACGTCGATTTCGGGCAACAGCCAGAATGGACGGGGAGTGTCCAGAAATTACAAACAGGAAAGTATGCGGAAGCATGGTCCCCTTTTGAAGTCTGGGAAAGGAGAATGATATCCCATTAAAGTGCATTTGGGTTCCTTTATGTGGTAACGCAACGCGGATAGAAGTGTTTGTGGCCCAGATTTGATCATGGTAGTTGAAGTGTATCAGCTGACCATTGTAGTTGACGGCACAACTATCACATCCACCGTCGCTACTACCCACACGCGCGGTAACTTTGAGCATCTCGCACGTACGCTGCGGATAACTCGAAATATGAGCCGGATCTACGCTAGGGATGGGCTTTAGTGTCTGAGGGCAAAATGGTGTTTTCTAATTTGCCTAGATGGGGGCTTGGTCCTTCTACGCGACCAGAGAAAGAGAAAATGTGCCTTAAAGAGATCAAAAAGGCAGCTATTTCTTACCTACGGATGGAAGGTGGTGAGTGCTTGAGTAAAATACTTTTATTCTAGTCACTGAGCCCGGGAGCATACAAGTGAATTCGCATGCTGTGTCAGTAAAGCATTCAAAATGCACATAAAATCTTTTCTGGCCGCGAACTCGGGGCTGTTTAAAATTAAAAGGTGATATCATTTAATTATGGATTTCCTTGGACTCAAAAAGGCATCCCTATCACCAGCAATAGAATGTTCACCTTGAAAAATCCTTATTTTTTTCAAAGGTTGGCAGACTTTCCCGTTGTAAATTAGTGGACTTCTCAAGATTAGTCTCAAGCACGCTTCGGTTAACCATTATTTTACAATACACACTAAATCACAGTACAGCAGCATTCTGATTGCCTATACGTCACTCGCCTGCATAGTAAGCCGGCTTTCTGGAGATTAACGATTAGCTTGTGCTTTGCAGTCGACATACCTTCTCAGTGGGTGTTGGTCTAATGCATTATCTCTGTTTCTAGTTCATAGTAAGTAGAGTGTTGTTCGTCGCTAATGCTATGTGGCGTTCCGAGTTTTTATCTTAAGATTGATTCCGCTTAAATTCAAAAGGAATTGGGACTAAACATCATTTAAAAGACCGACTGTGCTTGATAATCTTCCTTCAATTTGCCACCGAGGTTCTCGTAAAACAATTACATAACAATATGCCTTCTTATCCCTGAATTCGAGGAACCAATTGAAATGCCAGGCACATCTCGGGCAGTTTTAACGTTCCTCTCAACTGGAATTATCCATTTTACGGATTTCTTTCAAATGAGTACTTAAACAAACTCTCCAATTCTTCCTCAACTGCCTTTTTAGAGCTGATATAATTCATTATCCCTGGTCCTTTATTTGTAGGCAGGGTAATCACAACAGGATTTCAAGAAAATGAATAACTGCTCAACTGGACGCTTTTGCTCATGATAATTCGGAGTAGAGACAGTACCATGATGGTGGCTACAGAAAAGCCGAAGGTGGCTGATGACGGCTAATAAGCCAGAAATGGTCATTCCGGTCTCCCTTTTTCGGCACCATCTCATCTACGTCTACTACTAGCCGCTGGGCAAATGCCTTCGAACGTTCTAGTATGAGTCCAAAGGCACAACGGAACGAACATGTTCCGTAACCTGATCAGTGAGCGCCACTGTCATAAAAGGTGAAGTATTTAAAGGGCGTAGTTGTTGGGACATCGTAGCTGGTAACAATCGCATTCATCACAAATCATTATACTTGCTACGATGATAGCCTGACAGCTCACATCCGGATCATAAATGGCCACGGCACTGTCGCAATTATTGGTTATTCACGTGATAATGACTTTGAAATTCGGTTCATCGGTACCCTCGCTGGAGCCGGTGTTCATTCATGCACTCTACGCGTAACTAAATAATCTGACTGAACACAGTCCTAGGGCTAAATATTGACGGCGGAGATTAGTTAGCCAGTTGATGGATTTCAAACCGAAGAACCACGAGTTGAGTATTCAGCTACCCCCGCGGTCCTCATTCCTTGAGCTGAGTTCGGCTTCGTCAAACGTGATGATTCGACACCTGACACGTGAGCTTGCCGCGAATTGAAGATGTACACCATCGCTCCCCGCTGCTTATGCCTGTTTGGTCTTCCATTTCCGGAATATATTCCTCCTATCTCCGACGTAGTTAGTTTTCCATCGATTGCAGTATATTCGATAAACAATCCTAGGTCTTTCCTCTGTGCAAGCACATACTTGGAACGGTTTTAAAAGACAGCTGACATCTCCAGTACTCTTCTTTACGTACTGAACACCTGCTAAAAGCCTGAAACGGCGTCGTTAAGTCTATCGTTCAGCCTCTGTATATGGTGCCTGACAAAGATAGTTGGGTGACCAATCAGTCTGCAAGCCAGTTAGACTTATTCTATTTCGGTTATTTCACCTTTTATTTTACTGCACGGCGTCTGAAAGTGTCCAAAAAGCGTCCTCACCTGACTGTCTTAGGGGTTAAATGAGTGGTTATCGCAAGGATTATGGGATAACATTCTAGCAACACGGGTGCTAGCTAAATGTCCAGACACCCGTGTTTCGCCGGTATTCTGTCGCTGCATTGCACAGCTGCAAAAGGTTCAGTTCTTCAGGGGGTCCCCTAACATTCCCCGTCTGCTTTCTGGCAGATACTTCAGGTTATCATTTGTTCCAGAAATTAATAACAGACTTGGAGAAGATCAGTATACTTTAAGGTCTATAGTCGCAGACCGAAAGCTGTTTCATGGATATTTAGACCAATGTACATCGGCCACAGTAGGATAACCATTAAAAATTCATTAACTGTCAACAGGCAGGTAGTATTATCCTTGAAGTTCTCTGCCTACAGCCTATTCGCAGCTGGTCCGGACACCTTTGTCAATCTGGATTTCTGCAATACTTTTGCCCAAGACAGCACAACAGTGATGTCTGAGTAAATGATCCGCAAATTGTGACTTTAGGGCCGCCGCGTAGGGGTTGGGCAACTCGCAGTGTATTAAAGGCGCTCATCTTTGGTTCTTGGACGTCATTCGGACGCACGGCAGGATCCTAGGGAACGGTCAGGTGCCGTTTCTACGGACTTTCTGTGGTGCATCTTGACGACGCACTTCAAATGAATTAGATTCCACTATTGCCGGTCTCATAAAGCCGCAAAACTCCGAGATGCCCCTGTGTAGAAATTAACCACGATAACTCGCGTCAAAATGCTAGCATTACGGAGCCATTTTATAGGTCGCTCTGTACTTATTCTCTGACCTATGGCAATAAGAGTAAATAATCTTCAATTTCTGTAGACCTCTATTACAGTGCGTGACCAGTCTCATGAATTGTTGACTAAAATTCTGGAATGCGTTTCCGATCAGGAAGGGGGTTGTTTTTATTGATTATCATGCAGCATAACCCTATAACATTTCGGGCTCGCCAGGATGTTGGCTTTTGAATGCACTTCATTTTGACCTCCTGCAGATACAGCAATCGGTCAAAAATGACTACTTAAGCAGCATGCATTTTTCCTTTTGATTTTTGATGGTCTTATATGTTCAAATAGCTTTCACAGAAAACATATACAAAAATACGCTTTCTTTTGCCTTTTTGGTAGGAAATCACATTGTCTTCATATTTAAAGCCCGAATAAAGTGTATATTTGGTTTTAAAATGTCCCCCGATTACCGAATAATTTTCAGCCTGATCGGCCATTGCATCATTGTTTGCCGATTTCAGTCTACAAGGTGCATAATTTCCGCCTAATGAGAATCATGTATTCCTCTATGCCTTTAAGAAGATACTACACAGAGTTCATGAAAGGTTGCAATGGATTCGGACTGTGATGTACATTCCATGAGGCGCATTTGTAAACGTATATGTGCGGTCTTGCATACATGAATATCCACGGTCTTAAACATCTCATCATTAGAAACTTTTGTGAAACCTAAATATACACTTTTTCAGGTAAAAAATGCAGCTACAATGTCAGTTTCTACCAAAGGAGTGGAATAAGGCATATGTCTCTGCACGTCTTCTATAAAATATGTTTGAATTTATAAAACCACCGAAAATCAATAGGAAAAATGCATACTACATAGATAACCATTTTTCCGAGTTTGGTTTCTGCAGGCGGTAAAACAGAATTATACTCAAAAGCCGACATCCTGGAGAGCCCGAAATGTTATAGGGTTTTGCTGCATAGTAATCAGTATAACAACCCCACTAAAGTATTCCCTCCTAATCGGAAACGCACTCCAGAACTTTCTTCAACATTCCATGAGATCGGTCGCGCACTGTAAATCTACCTGTATCTGTGGAAAACGTTTGGCCTTTTCCAGACTTTTGAAAAATAACACAATAGAATGTTTTGTAAAATAATGTTAGCAACTTTCTTTATGAGAAGAGAACCAAGGGTTGCATAACGAGTACCCCGACACATACATTTTGAACGTCAAATGGCTGCCAGCTGCTAGTAGAATGCAAGTAAGACATACACCACTCCCAAGAGTAACATGCGGGTGTGCCACACGGTTTTATTTGAAAGAATTAAATGGCCAGGCAAATAATCATGCTGTCTTCCGGTAAAGGGAAAAATTTGCTCTTCTATCCGCCGTAAAAAAACCAAATAACTGCTCGCAACATCAAACTGAATTACGTTAGATGTACTGACAGGCGGAAAAAGTAAAATTATCTCTCGAGCACAGCTTCTGTTTATTGGTGGGTCTAAGCGTTTGTGTAGATCATACAGAGAAGGTGTACTTAGAACTACAGTAAGTGAGCAAACTCATGGAATGTCAGCCGAAATTCCAAAATGCGTTTTCGTTTTGAAAAGATTAATTAAATAGGTTTGTTAAACTAACCATCGTGCAACATAATTCTATAATAATTTAGTTACCTCAGGATGCCAGCTTTTGAACGAACTCCTTTGCGTCTGCAGGCAAAAACCATGCTCCGCAAAAATGTCTATTTACGTAGCATGCATTTTGTTCATGGATTTTCGATGCCCTTAAATATTTAATTATATTTCATGGAAAACATGCATAGAAATAATCATAAATCTTCTTCCAATTTTATACATGCATTTTTCTCATCGATTTTTGATGCGCTTAAAATTCAATTATAGTTCATTTAAAATTTGCATAAAAATACTCATAAATCTTCTTCCAATTTTATGCATAAGAGAGGAGAGTATAATTCGGTTTTCCTGAAAAATTTTAAACCCGACGAGCCATTACACTTGGATTCGTAGTTTCCAAACTACATGCCGTATATTTTTCGCGTACGGAAAAGCATATATTACTCTACATTATTAAGGGGAGACCATATGGGAATTATAAATTGTATTCGTGGATTGGCGACATATTGTAAACTTTACTAGCCAATTTGGTAAATGCAGGGACATGACTTTTAATGAACGGCCATGTCACAGTATTAAAAAATTTTACAATTACAAACTTTTTGAAAAAAGACTTCTACCCCTTCTTTAAGCGAAAAAGTGAAAAAAGACGTAATTTTCTACTAAACAAATAAAAGAACAAATATGTTTATGCTTTTTGTCCATGAAATATAATTTAATCTTTAAGGGCATCGAAAATCAATGGGAAAAATACTTGCTATTTAAGTAGTCCTTTTTTACAGTGTATGTTTTCTACATGCAACAGCGAAGAAATTTATCCGGAATCCGGCACCCCGTGGTAACAATATCATTATAAAATTATGCTGTATGATGATAAGTTTTACAACTTTACTTAATTAAACTTTTCATAACGAAAGCGCATTTCGAAATTTTGGTTAACATTTCATGATTTAGCCCACCTACTGTAAAATGAATGGAATACAGCTAGTAAGGATTTTGTGGAGTCTCACAGAATAAACTAGGAAAACGCGTAAATCGTCCGTGCCTCAGATGCTTTCAGGAGTATTGACACCCACGCCCTGTTCTGGGTCAGATAACCGCGAAAGTTCATAGCAGCTTGAATAGCCTCGGAGCAGCACCGAGCGTCTGAGTCATTTTAACCTGCGCCGCTGGATCTCGCTCGGCGTTGTGACCCTTGCGGCGGCGGCGGCGTAATAATGCAATGCAACTGTCGCCTTTCTGTGTAGCCTAGGTGTGTGACCATCGAAACAGGTCCGTTCAGTCATTAACAGGGAACGGCTTCCGACTGTAAACATAACCTACAAGAGGGGTTTTTGCTTCGTCGGACGCCAAGGCGTTATGCTTGCAGATGAATGGATCTGTCAAATTAACTCGAGTCGGACGCCTCGTACGGAACGCTGTCAGAAACACTACGTTGTTACATAGACTCTGAAGGTCATGACTGGGCAGTTTTGGGTTGGATTTCTTGGAAGGACACCGCAATTAGCAATCTCCTCCACGTAATAGATGGTGGTCTTGAGGTAAAGTCCAAGAAGGTTATCCGCCCCCCCCCTCACCAGGCGGTAACGCTAACCTTAACCCTACTTCTAATTACCTTGCCATTTAGCACAAGTCCACGTGTATTACGGGGATGGTTATTTTCTCACGCCCTACCCATATTCCTATATTCCTATTCTGATGTCCCGTCAATTTTTGCAATCGAGACCGTCAAGCCACTCAAACAAAGCATATACAACGAAACGGAAAATCGTATCGAACGCGCCCAAGTACTTCAGCTCCTAAAGTTCTGCCTCCGAACGTACTTCACGTTTGACGGAACCATCTACAAGCAAGTGAAGGGAACACCTATTGGCTCGCCGATTTCAGGATTCATCGCAGAGATGGTCCTACGGCGGTAAGAGTCATTGGTCTTCCAACACCGCAGACCGAAATGGTGGGCTCGGTATGTGGGCGATACCTTCGTCGTCATCTAACAGGATCAGGTGCTAACGTTCAAAGAACGTCTGAGCAGCGTCTTCCGCACACACAATTTACGACGGAGGAGAAAGAAAATAACCAGCTGGCATTTATTTATGTCCTTGTCTGTCACAAAGATTTTTGTGGCCTAGAGACCAAAATGTTCAGAAAAGCGACGAGCACGACGCATGTACTGAACATCAACAGCAATTACCCAGTCAGCCGCAATCACAGTTGCGTGTTGAGACGCACTGTAATGAACCGGAAGACAAGGTTACCGAATTCCAGTATCATCGACGGATTTTCAGAGGAAATCGTTACCCGCGCAACTCGCTAGAAGCGCCTAATCCAGAAGGATGTTTGCTGAAGAATAAGAGTGCTCGGTTGACAGAACGCATTCAGTCGCGGAAACCACGAATATGTATAGGGGCTACAGTTGCAGACCAATTTGCGTAAGCGTAAATTTGCATTTTAGCGCATTAAGCCTAGCCCTCAACCAGCTATCCGTATTGCAGAAACCGCAGTTTTCTTGACTGTCACGGAGTTATCAGTCAGGGTGAAGACAGGACATTGTTAGTCTGACATATAAGGGAATTTTTTTAAATATCGACTCCATCGGCGGTCTTATTAACTTTACAAGGCCACACGTCATTATTTACGCAGAAACCAGCCCTGGACAAACTTTATCGACCAATCATCTTCGTTTATATTTGATCTTTCTTACTAAAAGTTTCGAAAGTGGTAAAAATGAACTACGTAGACCATGTGGCAAAAATTGCAGTGGCAGTGCATTTAACTCCTCTGTCCAAGAACGAAGGAAACATCGAAATCATTTGTCCATGGAACTTCGTAGCAAATCAAACAGAGGCTAAGGTGTACCCCTAAGCAGAGAATTATTATTTAATTTCCCAACTTCGGTAATCATATATTACTGTTATTTAAAGTCAGCTGAAAGATAACCGCTATTGGCTTTGTAGTTTAACAACGTTTGAGCCTCTGAAATGTTCGAAACTTTCAAGAACTACTGACCATTCCTGCGCTTTTTGGAATCAATGAAATCTTCCCCATTAATTCCTTCCGTCGAATTGTTCAACGAAAAATTGTTGTAAGCATGCAAAGTATGAACATTCCTCCGCGTTCCTGATGCGAGCGCCGCGCTAGTGACTGACAGTAGCAGTATAAAATCGACCCACTTTTTACTTCCCAATACTGCAGCAGACTTCATTTCAGAACGTTTTCATCGACTCAGAGGTTATCGTGAACTTTTAAGGTCTGTGCACGGCTCTGTTTGCTTATATAATGAAGTCAATGAAAATTCTTCTTAATCCGAAAAACAGTTTATTTGGTACATCTAGAAGAAGGGGTTTCAAATCTGGGCAAATCACATGTTTGTTTTTTGTTTACAATAACCAGAGAGGATGGTTCTTTAGCAAAATGCTGCGAGAACGACCACGACCAGAAGGACAAGCTAAAATTAGACAGAGTTATATATTACTGACGAAGTTTTAGTGCTATGTTTACTTAAAGTTAGATATGAAATTTACCGTTTTCAATAGGGTTTTCAAGGGCATTGCCTATTACCCTTAAAATATACTGACCCACTGGCCTATTGAGATTGATCTGCTCTGTCTATCTTAAAATTAAAAGAATTTAACTTTTTAAGATAAGATCTTCAATTTGGCCGACCTAGGTCGCTTATGATTCGATTCTTACTTGTTACTTCTTTCTTAAGAATGAACATTCTTCATGAATAAGCCTTCTAGTGAATAGGCTGATGCGTGAAATTAAATGGCGCAATTAACCTAGGGGCTTTATAATGTACTATGATAATCATTCAACTTTCTATTCCGTTAACAAGTCAGAACGTAGGCGGATGTCACTGAACCACTGAAATTCATAAGGTAATGCTAATTTTACCGTGTAAATTTTAAGTCCTGTACAGGATTTTTGTCGAGAAATTAACTAACCCAAGAAGCACATGAAGGATTTTCGGGGAAAGAGGAGAAATCACTTAAATATTGCTATCTAAATAATTGCAAATGTATTAAAGGTATTCTAAGTTGATCGTTCATTGAATGTGAGAAGTATTTTTAAGGAAACTGCTAAGATAATACTTTAGGCTTTATGCAGAAATCGGATCTCATGCTGTGAAGGTTTCATTTCACAATGAAATTCACCAATTCAAACTAGATCGTTTCAAAAAACCGAGTATTCCCCTACCAGCAATAAATTGTTACACAAGAATGGTTCAGAACCCCTTTTGCAAACCAAGCAAGTATTTCCATGTCAGAAAATATAAAATTTGAAGAACAATAAATGATCTGCCTTTGACCAGCGCTAATAGTACTCCGTCTATCCTTAAATGACGGCTCTGTCTAAGTATAAATGCGCTTTTCGGGAAAAAAATTAAACCCTACCATGAACATGAAAAGGTGTGTTATATGTGGATTCTTGGATATTAAATATCTTGCTTCACGTGGTAAAGAACCTGATATATCATCTCCCGGAAATCATAAATGGTGCCATCCAAACTCGATTATTGAACGTTAAAGGCACGTCCTCATGCAGAAATCACTTTCAAAAGTTCTGACAGAGATACTCCAGACCTATACCTTACTTGCGTGCTTATACCTAACCCAGAGAGTTCAAAGTCGTAGCTGGAAACGTTGCCAACCAGCTTGATTGCTCTCTGGTCAAACAGTCAGGGTCTAGTGGACCGTTCCTGGTGTGACCATAGTGGCACTCTCGCCTAAGTCACCTCCAAGTTGTCCCTATCGTGCAGTTCTGGAAACGACATGTGTGGCAGCATTACTTCGTAAGACACGTCGCCCAGACCCCGTAATCTTGTTTTTGTCTGACCATCAGAGCAAGGGTTGTGAGGTAAAATGTGTCAAACGCCGTGCATGCATGTCTCACTGGCAGCTCGATCGTTGACTTCAGCGATGTCAATCGTCTGCTCTACAGCGCAGGGAGAGCAGGAACGGTGAGATGCGCGTGAATTAAAGTGTTGGTGGACTTGCGTTGCATCTACCGCACTCCCTCCTCACCTCCCACATTGCCCACAAGCGAGCCCAGAAGACGCAAAGCGAGCAAGGACGCAAGTAGTCGGCACGGCAATAGTCGAACGTTGGTGCGCCACGACACCTAATGGGCTGCAACGGATACTGCCCAGGATTTTCAAGAACAACAAAAGCCTGGGCATCTCGGAATCCAATTGGCGCTATGAGGGCTTTCAATTGGCCCTGTAAACACACTATGTACGATGGCACCTGTTGTGTTTTCGTAGTTCAAATAAAACCTGCCGGACCCCGATTTAACCTCGCCTGCTTGTCCAACGCATCTACCTCCTGATCCCTGATTTTCGTGCTGAACACGCTCCATGCGACATGCAATGGAAGACGTCGTCTAAGTTGGTCAGACCGTCGCCTGTCTGACATCAAGGTAATCAAGACCGGACAGATCACCTGAGTATTCGGCACATGTGCTTGATCAACAAGCCTATTTAAGCAATTTCAACCCCTTGTCTGTCGTTTAGGCACGCCTTAGCATTGTTGAGACATGTTCTGAACTCGTCAACAGTCACTGGAGTCTGACAGGACAACTGGGCAGAATATCGTTAAGAAAAATAAAGACTTACCAGACCAATTATCAGCGCGATGGGAATAGGTAGAATTTTGACTTTGGTAGCTTCGACGAAGGTTTTTATTTTGTCCGTACAACCAGGCACTTTGTCTGCCTTAGCGGTGTCGACGTCGCAGGAGGATTTCGAACCTTTGGTATTTGTTTTGCAACAGGTTTCCGGGAATTCCGCCATTCCTAATTCTTTATAGAAATAAAAACATAGTACAGTATAAACAAGAAGCACTCAATTACAAAAAATGCGCGGATCTCTGAAGGTCATGAAAGATCAGGAACTTACTCTTGAAATCCTCGTAGCCGTCCAATCCACAGCAAATATTGTTATTGCTCTGCAAATGAATAAGCCATGTCTTAAACAGGGTTAACACGCTTTCTTAGACTACAGGGCATTATTCTGCCAAATACTAATGCCTTATCTGATATTCAGTCGACAAAAGATTTTTAAACTTGTCGTCAAACATTCGGCTGAATCGTCCATTCTGGCCATTCCAAAGTCTGAATGCAAATTTCACTACCAAGTAATTTTTTCCGGGGTAACCTGATGAAAACCAATTTACATTTAAACTAAGAACGCGCTTCCAAAGTACGGATTCATAAGTGATCTGTGTAACTTATATTCGGGAGATTCAAGCCTAGTGTCTATTGAGACCATACATGTATTTCGATAACATTAGTTGCTAACAGGACTATAGCACACAATCTCTTAGTAGTAGTTTGCTTGCTATCAGACAATGGCATCTATATTTAAGTTGATTATTCTTTGTTCGTCGAACATATTACTTTTAAAAATGTATAAGGGAATTGCTGTCGTCGTTAAAATATATCTGACCGCATATGCGACACAGGAAATAAAACTGGGTAAGTAACTGAACATTAACTCGGGTAATATCATTACCCTTCTGGAAAAGGAATGAATGAAGTTACGACATACATATTATGCGATAGTCGACTTGCTACCACAAATACTGTTTGACCTCTAATAAATGTATCATCTTTCAGTTCACCTACTGTGTCAAGAGAAGCTCCTGCCTTAGGTTTATAACTAAATCCCCTTCTACTGTTGACGGATTCATAAAACACCTATTTCGGCTATCGTGCGATTCAGGTATAGCCATTATTACTGAGTAAAATGTTTCCTAAACAACAGGATTAACGTTATCTTTTTGGAAAAATAGAAATGAATCTGAACCGACAGTTGCGCCTCCAATCGGTGTGGTCAACGCATTTGTTAATAGAGTGGAAACATTGCCAAACTTCGAAACGGTTATCATGTATGCAATGGTATTTTTCGAAAAGGAATCTTGGTGTTGTGCGACTGAGCCGCACCTATTTGCGGCTCCGTATTCGGGGATTCGTCGATTTCTTTATTTGCCGATATAAGATATTTTCTATTGTTCTTGTGATTGAACGCATTTTTAATAAACGAAATTTGTTTATAAATTTTCAAATAAGGCCCACTTACGGTCATAACCAGAGACCAAATTACACGAGCTGTGTTTTTGTTCGGGTCTTCATTATAAGACTTAAGCGCTTTGTCCATTAGGCCAAGAACTTGATCTGGAAGCTGTTTCGACCGAAAAAATAATAAACGTGCACTTAAATTGTAACTTGGGTAAACTAAACAGCATCAACACAGTCAAGAAGAAAGCGAAGTTATTTCGCACATCCAAAAAAATTTAAAAAATCACGGAAAACTTTTTGGACCCGTCCTTGCCTCTCTGATGAATTTCACGTTCTAGTAGTTTAGACGACCCTTTTTCACCTAACTGGCCAATTGGTTGGAACATTACAATCAAGGAGGCATTTTTTTAAGTGCACTTACGTAGCTAGGACTTCCAAATACGTAGCCGGTAAATGCGATTTGCGTAGCAAGCATGATGCCGAGCAGAACAGCGTACTTAAAAGAAAAAAGTAGTATTGATAAATTAAAAGCCCAAGCAACTTCTCGCCTTCTTTCGCGATATTAACGTGACACAATGAGGCCCTACTCACAATTTTCAACAATATACCGCATGGGCAACAGGAGGCGATCCAACCGAAGAGGCAGACAAGTGCGCAGACGGCGCCCACCGAAACGAGAATGACGCCGACAGAGCCTAGAAAGATATTGTAAACTTTGGTTAGTTTTGCATCTGGAGAAATGAAGGAAGCATTTTAGTTTGACACTGCAGTCGACTTACCGAGGGAGTTGTTCATAAATGCTGCCAACGCCTCCTTTTCAGTTTTGTCTATAGTAGCATCGGAAGAGATTAAATTCACTAGAGTGTCTCCCAAGAGTCCAGATTTGAGGAGTGCTCCAACAACAGCAAGGATACCAAAGACAATCTGAAATGGAGAATTTGTAGAATATTACCAATGCACAAACACACGTGTATAAGGGTTTTAATCGAATTTTATGGGAAACAAATGAAACAAACACAGCCGTGGTCATTTTTGACTAGTTGATATATGTCGATTCCCACAAACCGCCCCGCTCAGTTTCAGCCGACTTTCGCTTTCTACTCACAACGCGTTTAACCGCATAAGCTGCCATTTACTCACGTTACTTTTTTCAGTTGAGATCGAAGATACTCAGCTCAGTCTCCATTGTTGTTTTTCCTTAAAAACACAACTGGTCAAGCACGCTCTGTACTCCAATTGGATCGAATAACGATCTAATCATACTAATTACATGAATAATTGCAAGATCGAGAACCTCGGGGAACGACTGTTTTTTATAAGCGAGGCAGCATGCTAAACAGTTAGCTGAAAAAAAGGAAATAACGGAAATTCTCTGGATTTATTCTGAATGTCTTATTCTACTCTTCTGTACGACGGTGGAAATGAGAGAAGTAATTAAACAGCAAACAATAAGTAACTTTCAGAAAATAATGACTTCTGAATTAACGTGTGAGGTCGTGGGAAATAGTCGTTGTTGGCAGTGTAATTTCTGCAACAGCCTGCAAATGCATGCCAAGATAAAACCCTTTATGGTACGATCCACAGTCTACTGACAGCTAAATGGGATCCTTCTGTATACCGTTGTCCATAAACATTCTGTATAAAAATGTTTAGTCGTGACTTTTGCCACCCATACGGATTTTGCTTGCCTTCGGAAGCCAATGGATCAGTGTGCCCATTCCTGAATGAATAAATACCCGATCTGCCGTTGCACCTTAATCTTACAGAAAACAAACCGGATGATAAGATTAGTGTTGACGGCGATGTTTGTCTATCACAACTTCTCTGCGATCATATCTTAATCCAATTTACCTGTTTTGTTGTTGCCTGTCCAAGACCACTGTCACACTCTCGTACCCTGTTTGCTTCGGGAAACGGTCACTGAGCGATCTACTTAACGCACAACATATTATCCAGCCCTGTGTCCCCGGCGCAGTAGTAGCGTTTAGCGGCTACGTCCGACGGAAGCTTCTTGGATGCTTAATTTCGTTCATCCCCGAGAACGACCCAGGATTTCTGACCGGCCCGCTGGCTGACGTACGTGGTTCGTGAACGAACTAGATAGCGTGGACTACCCGAATAATCTAGGCCGTTTAATCTGGACGTAGCCCTGAGCCAGCTCCAACTCAACGATTCCCTCGCGTTACCATCTGCGCAGCGACAGCGTTAGCAGTGTTTATCCTAAGGGTGTAAAAACTGGTAAATCAAAATTGCACGCCTGGTACTCACATATGAGCCGCAGGAACTGAAGTCAATAGTAGCATCCAACAACTCATCAGGAGAGAACAGGAGTCGGAAAGCTACAGTTGTTCCGAATACAAGTTAGAACGTTCACTTGCAGACACACCCCCGAAGCATGATATAACTTTAACAACCGTAAAGGCAAACATTTTATTGGTCGAAGATTTAGACAGATCACTCCGAGTGGCACAGCCCATGCACTTAGGTGCTCCATTAGGGCTTGAAGCAAGACCGAATTTGCTACGGCACCTGACGACTGTCTGAACTTCGAGAAAAAGTTGACGCGATCGCTGGAACAGGCACTTTACATCAGGATGTTGCCCCTTTAAAAAGGGCACACAGGTAAGCCGACGTATTGTTAGTGGTATATACTGCACAAGACATGACTTACGACCAACAGGAGGTGCAGAACTGTAAGAACCGCCTTCAGGGCACATTTAACGGCGCAGCACATTTTCCAACGGAGTTGTCTAGTAAAAAAATGAAATGAAGAGCATAATTTAGAAATGGGGTTGCAGGCATCTAGGCAGTCGTAAGCGGTTCTAATAGGGTTAGAATGTTGATTGCATATGCATTATCTTGTGGCTTGTAACGCATATATAATTATTTTCTAGATGGAAGAGTTCAGGCGCAATTATCGCCCTAAATAGGTACTTTATTACCATCGCGTTCAAGTCCTATTCCAGCAAACGCATGTCGGCTCCTTCTAGAGTCTAAACCGGCTAAATAGATTAGGTGATCATTTTGATATTTTCCACGCTTTTATTGGCCAAAAACGCGCCTTTGTGACGAAAAACTGACTAGAGGTACAAAAATGTGGTATCTCAATTAATGCTTAGGGGAATTTTGAAATTTGTTTTAGATTCGAAAAAATTACATAAGCAGTTTTAAAATATTCATTATTGTGTGGGATTATCCCAAGAAATGTCAGTCACTGTAAGATGCCAACTCCTTTTTGAAAATCTGCAGATCCACGCTTTGAAAGAGGACTTCCTTTATATCATGGATTTTTGCTTTGATTCTCGATGTCCTCATATCTTCAAGTACATTATACAGAAAACATACCCATAACAATTCTTTCATGTACGGATTTAATAGCGAGCTGTGTCTGTTTTGAATTATCTACTAGAAAAAAGAGCATCCTAAGGTCTTTAAGAGGTTTGAAATTCCAAAATATTTTTTATCCCACCTCCTATTACACTTGCATTCGTGGTCATCAAACGACATGCTGCATAAATTCCGTCAAATTATAATCATAATTTTTATCCTGTTAGGAGGAAGTCATTTAACATTAATAAAATTGAGCAGCGGAATTGAGCAAGTTGTGTAATTTATAAGAAGCTTTAGTACACGTTCTGCTGCGATGATTTATTAATAGACGCTTCATGGTCTTATAAAAAACCGCCAAATTAGAAGCTTTTGAAAATGATACTGTCTCTTCAAGTAGAACATTAGGATAAGACGACATCTGCCACTAGATGAGTACAAGAAAGAATATGAATGGTTAATTTTCCTATAATTTAAATATAAACTTGTAAGGGCGTCGGAAGACAATGGGAAAATTCGTACTACACACGCAGTCATCTTTCGCAGAGTTAAATTCTTGAAGGCGGCCAGAAATAATCTCATTCAACAGCGTCTGAAAAATTATAGGATTATGCTGCATTATAATCTATATCAAAACCCTATCTAATTAATCCTTTCTAATCGAAAATTCCCTAGGCAATATCAGTTAACATTGCATTCACTTGTTGTATTTGTCCCCATCCTCAAAAACGATTCTACGGTAGCCGTCCCAATTAATTGGGAAATAATTAAATAACTAGGGATTTTATAATGATCTTTTTTGACAAAATCCCAAAATGATTCAGTAAGGTCAGGATAGCAAGGATATTTCAGAATGTTGTTCACCTGTCATGAAATTAACCAGCTACTATACTGGCCTAGTGGAAATTGGCCGAGTTAGCTATATGCTTACTAAGTGTTCTCTTGTGCAAATGAAAAAATAAAAAGGACTTGTGCTCAGTAGGTTAGTTTTGTGTGCCTAGTAATGTGCTCTTTAGATAGACGATCTGCGCCCATGTAAACACAGACTTTATTTTAACAGACCTGTCCGTTATCACAGATTTTACTGGCCGATAGGCCAAAACAGAAAGACCGCTGACATCTTCCAGTGAGGCCATTAGATTAAATGACCGCTGAATGTCCTTTCGCTTTTATAACGTTAGCCTTTTTCGACAAGTGTCTGGAAGAAAGAGGTCATTGTCACCGCAGGTCATTCATTCAATGGATCTCCTTAGGCAGGGCGTGGTGGGCGATCAACCAAGAAGTGTCCAGAGGCAATTTTCCGAATTGCTACGTTTTTGGCCGATTTGCACAGTACATCTAACATAACCGTGAAAAATAGAATTCGCGATCAGCAAGTGCTCGTGTGCGGCCAACGCTCTGACCACCTGAACTACAACGCCGCAACCCGGGACCGTGTGTACAGTCTGTGGTGACGGCTGCTTTTATGACTTTGTGCGAGCAGGGTCAAATGCCTTGCGTCAAATCCGGGGTAGGAACGGCTTTGCCTCTCCGAATGCAAGCGTTGCGGTTGGTCAGACAGCAAGGTTGTCGCGTCAGGTAGCGATCGCCGGAAAGGCGAATGACCTTGAGACAGCGGGGTTTCCAAGAGCGGACTTTTCACTCAACCTGTGATAGTGATTGCTACGTGTCTAAATACACAGCTTACTGATATTTACAACGATGCGTATTAAAATAGGCTGTTTAGCCTCCAAAAATATGCCAATTGTCTAATCAGGGCAGGAAAAACTGCACTGGAAGATCTTAATTATTGATGCTAAACATCGCTCGTACGATCAGCAATAATCCGCACGAGCAAGCCCGACTTTGGGAGATGCCTCTACACGGCACACAGAACATGTTCCTCATTGCAAACAATTAAACCATCACGATGGTCCATAGGCTACGTAAAACTAGTTAGGGTCTTCCACCCTACCGTTGCCGCGTGTCCACAAAATCGGTAACCCTGCTTCACGTTAGATCCCCCTCCCTCCTACTACATCAAAATCCAACGGAAAGGGTGACATGCAATTCCGTAGGTGGCCTGAACCGCCTTTTTGGATCAACCTTTAAGACTTCTGCGTGATAGTCACGCCTGACTCACCTGAGTAGAGGTGTGGAAGTGCGTGAGATTACCGGATGAAGTGACGCTAATTCCTCAATGAACGGGTCTCGGACGTGTGCAGTGGATGTTGCGCAAGTCACCAGTCCTGCGCTTGTCACGCTGTGTATGGCCAACGGTACCAATCGGCGGTCGCGATGGCCAGGGAATGACCTTGACGCGCGAAATGCTGAACAAAGGAGGCGACAACCCCCGAAAAAGGCGGTAGCACTCTCTATCAAACTGACGCATAACAAAATGACTGTATCGACCGTGAAGTAGAGGATGAAAGAGGTTGTTCGATGTAGAGCACACGCAGGTTGGAGGACGTTTACCAACCATGTAAAAAATGTTCGAGCCGACCTGCGCGGAGGTTCAGTTTTGGCAGTTAGCAAAGGGTGTGCCTGTGTGACTCCGTCAACGTGTGCTTATGCGTTGGCATTCTAGTGTGAGAGGCGTGGGTTTTTCCGACGCGAAGCATCTGTAAATATTCCTCGGTGGGATAATCCACAGATGAAAGCATAAATGCACAGCCCATCTGCATTTTGGCGGCAGTGTTGCAAAGAAAATGAACGCACGATCACTGGGACAGTAGGTGTATTAGTCTGAGCTTTCGTTCTCGTACAGGCGTCCATCGTCAGAGACTGTGGGAGTGTGGCGTCAAATGAGCATTGCGAGCCAAATCGATAATCGGTTAACTAACCGGATTCTTGAAACGACTCAGGCGCAACAGGGCGATATCGCTAAACGACTGGCGACAGATGAGTCTACTGGAAACGGTACTGGCCCGATTTTATGTATTACCCTAAATTCAACAAGCCTAATGTTCCCCGTCGACCGATCGCTGCCTCGAAAGACAACCCCACGTAAAATCTATCCAAATGGATGGCTCGGAAACTTAATTTTCTTCGAGAGGGCTTGGGAACCTCCCTATTCCAGGCGGACATTCAATTAAAACTTTCCGATCTGATCAAATTATGGTGTCCATTGACGTGGTATCATTTTTTGCATCCATCACGCCGAACCTGGTACTCGACGGTCTACGCAAAAGACTCGAAGAAAACTACGACGAAACGAACATACCTCTAAAAATCGACCATTTGCGGAAAACTTTGCTTTCTTCCAGCAGACCTGTTTCACCTTCAGTGGCAGAACATATGTGCAGATCAAAGGAACACCGAGGGATTTGCCAGTATCCAGCGTGGTTGCGGAACTTGTCTTACAGGAACTGGAAAAACTTGCCTTCGACCAATATTAACCTGCGTTTCGATGCCGGCACGTAGAAGACACATTCGTTTTAATTGAAAGGGGCAGACTAGCAGACTTCCAAGCCCTGCCTAATGGCATCTTTCCCGACATTCAGTTCACAATGGAAGAAGAGCATGCCGAACAATTTCTTTTTCTCGACATCCCCGTGACATGCCGACCCAATGGGGAACTCAACAGCACGCTGCATGGAAAGGAGACTAACACGACTCGACTACCGTAGCAACCACCTAATGACGCATAAAAGCGGTTGTGCTAGAGCATCTTTCCAAAGGGTAAAGATTCATTGTTGTGAACTGGAGGGAGAAGTACCAGAACTATGGCATTTTTGGGACCAATTAGCAATGATTGGGTGCTCAAACAGCTTCGTCAGTAGTTGCCTCTGTACGAACTCACAGCAAACAGGCGGCAGGGAGTCGCTACGACTCTGGCACCCTTTGCCGCATATAAAGAACGTATCAGAAGCAGGGAAGCGTAGACAGATCTGACAATGGCTTATCTCGCGAATAACGGAGCACAAATTAGCAGTCCGGAGAGGTGGCCCAACGTCTCAAGTAGCCACTTAGACCCTGGAGGAAAACCATGACTTCAATTTTACAATCACGCGGATAATGGCGCGAGCCAACAGTAAGACAAGGCGAGGACTCCTTGAGGGCTGGGTGTCTGACACCAACTTCATCAACAGACACGCTCCGTTCTCACGGCCAAGAAGCGGGATCCAAATCCTAGCCAAGGGTGCACGCAGTCACGACGCCATTAGACGGTGTAAAATCAGCCTTATCGCGAACACCACCCCCTGCACTCCCAACCCCCCGTTCTTAGGTTGACTACAAAACGGCTCATTTGACGCTGCACTCTCAAAGTCTCTGACGATGGCATCGTGTACGAGACCGAAAGCTCAGACTAATACACATACTCTCCCAGTGATAGCACGTTCACCTTCCTCGCAACAAGAACCTGGTACTCACAAATTCGCTTCCCTTCGTGAAATTCAAAGATGTCATCTGTTCTGAATAAGCCAT